TCATTTTATTGCACCAAGCAAAATAAAAAGCTGCTGCTTTTTTTTTYCCCAGCCAGCACTAATGAGGTCTTTTGCATACAGCTGTACATCATTATGAAACCCAAAAGGAGCTCCAAGGTTTTAAAGTTGGCATCCTGTTGTGCCTACAAAGGCAGGAAGTGATTTATCCCTCAAGCAGATACTTTGATTACTTGCAGGCATTTGCTTTTTGCTGGGACRGGGATACTTGAGTTTTTGTTGTCATTTGATAGCTATTCCAAGCATCACAAGAGGGCACAAAATAAACTGCCTAAAAATAACTGCCAGGGAATTATTAGCTGGAAGCTGAGGTGGGAGCCAGCTGCCTGAATGCAAAGCCTGTTTGGGGGCTTTTGGGGGGGCTCAGGAGATGCCAGGGGGGCAGAGGTACCACTGCACTGTGTTCCTCCTCTTTCAGTGTTTTATGAAGCACCTGCAACAGCCAATCCAACCCCAAAGGAAGGATATTTAACAYCATTCTGATGCAATAAAATTCCACCTAACAGCTCCTGTACGATGAAGAATGGGATGAAAATGAAAATGCAGAATAAAGACTTGTACTGTGCAGCCCAGCACCGGACAATCCTGCTTAGCCGGGCCATGGGGAGTTGACTTTACACCATAAAGGATTGCTGTTAAATAACATTAACTRCTAAATACCCTGAAATAGGGTCTTCCTTTCCTTGCCTCAGTTTCCCACCTGTCTTAGCACAAGTTGTGGTTTGTCCCTGTCACCCATCAGGGGCTGCCAAGAACATTTCCAGCAGTGGGACTTCTCTTACATGTCCCTGGCCTTGATTTTGCAGAAGACAGAATGCTAAATACTTTTATTTCCCCACCAAAATTCACTCCCTTGGTAAACAAAAATCAAAAGCAGCCGAGGAGGGAGGAAGGAAATCAAAAGCCAGGCGTGCTGAAATCCAACTGCACATCAGGGGAGGGAAAAACCTGCCATGAGCTGTTAGTTCTAAAGATAATTATATCCTTGATGAATAGCGGGGTCTTTTGGAAAATAGTTCTCCTTGATTGAATTAATGGAGGAAAACCACGGGCTTTAGACAGGCACTGGCAATGTCTGAACTGCCCTGACTTCATCCAAACCGAGCTCAAATCATGTCTGGTGGCCACCATCGAAGGCTGGAAGAAAGGARGGATCCCTCCTGCCTTCCTGGGGAGGATTCTGGCTTCCAACATCCCCATCCCAATATTTTAACCYAGTGCTAGACCCGGGTTTAGAATTATTTTTAAAACATCAACAAAGCACTGGATGCCGCAGATGTCGGCTCAGTGTCCAAGCCACGGGGAAAGCAGCAGCCACCACACTCCAGATCTCRGGAATGTGCTAAAGGCAAATGTACTCTCCTTCCACCCCTGGGATTATTTCTTCCTTCGGCTATTTYGGTTGATTGAGGCTAAAATAAGAAGAGGGAAAAGTAACACCAAGGTTAGAAGTGCCTGGCATTGGTTTGGAGGCAACACACTGTGATCCTGCTGGGTCAGGTTTCAACGTGTGTTAAACACAGATTTGCTGCTACATGGGCCCATCAAACACTTTACTGAATTACTTTCAAATCAAAAAAGTCACTGCCTGGGCAATCTAAYACATTAGCCACGAAGAAGCACATAATGAGTAAAAATAAAAATTAGCTAGGGAGAAAACCAAAATAAATACCCATCACAGGCTGCACACAATGGCAGCTTGACTGAACACTTCCACCATCAAGGTTCCAGACTAAAATCTGCTGCTGAGCCACGTGAGCAGCCCGGGAATCACTGGAATAATTTCTTTTCCTTTTCAGCAGAGACTTCCCTACGTGGTTTTCCTTCCTTCCAGCTGAAGAGCACGGAGAGATTTTGCACCTCTCTGCAATGCACCCACGCACTGCCCTGAAGGACACAGGGAAGCCCAGAGGGACCACCCTTGGCTGAAATCGGGAGGTTTTCACCCAGGCTGCTGCCTGCCTCCCCACTGGGGTGCTTCCCTGAGGTGTCAGGCTGTGTTTTCAAATCCCCAAAAGCTCACGCTGTAGAAGGGCAGAGACAAGGGAGTGAAACCACAAAGCAGCTTCCTTAGTGGATTTGATTATTAAAAGCAGCTCCATGGGCAGCACCACAGCAGAAAGGGACCAAGATTCCCTGGTGCTCACCCTGCCACAGCAGGCACTGACCTGCCAACCCCAGCCACAGCCAGATTTTAGAGGAGAAAAAGGCTTTTAGCTATCAGAGAGAGCTGAAACGCTGCATTTCCCCTCTAATGGGTTTTTAATGTTCCCCTCTCTCCAGCACAGCAGTGTTTTCGGTCCTGGCTCGGTGCAGGGTCTGTGCTGGGAAGGGCTGTGACCCAAACCATGGTTTTGGGGCCCAAACATACYCCAAACAACAACAGAGCCAGACTTTGCATCCAGTGGGGAGGCAGAAGGAACTTGCCAGCGCAGAGCAGTAACTCCAGATTCCCACCCGCGCCTTCCCGAGACCTCCCTCAACCCTGCCACAACCAAATAYTGAATTCCAGCCTTGTGGAAATGTGAAGGAAGCCAACCCCATCTTCAGCCATGAAGAGGTCTCTAATTTCATTACAGCCAGGTCGTGGCATTTGTGTTTTCATTACCCACAGCCTCTCGGGTCACTGCGAACGGGAGGTCACGGCGCCGATGCTTCACRGCGCTTTAATTCAGCATCATTTCAGAGTTAGTAAATGCAATCTTATTTCTCAAAGCCCAGAGGCTTCCTGACCACAGCACACACCCTTCAGCCAGCTCACCAAATCCAAAACCACCCTGGTTTCTGTAGGAACAGAGCTGGCATGTAKGGGAGCACTACAAGAAATTACAGGGTGGAGACAATTTTGTTGTCCCTACCCAAATGCTTTTCCTTTAATGCACAGGAAGTTTCGAGTTCTCTTCATCTCAGAGATGCTCTGAAGGGAAGGAGGAGTGTTTTACTTTATTGTCAGGGATTTCTAACAGGGCACTCTCTAAATATTGAGGAGGATTTTCCCAGCTTTAATTTGACTTTAAAGGAAGTTTTAACTCTTTATAAAGGAGGCACTTAAACTGAAATCACTGGCAGGCATTACCAAGTGTGCTTTGGGCTGAGAGAAGACACAAAGAACTCAATTCCTGTTTTCCAAGAGAGGTCACAACCGGTGCCCCAAAGTTTTGTTTTTAAGAAAGCATTGTTTTCTGTAGAGTCTCCAAACACAATATTGTACAGCACCTGCAGAAGATGCAGGCAATCAAGGAGATATTAATGTTTTACTGGCCTTATTTGAAATWGCCTCTTATCTCTTGCAGTAACACAGTTATTTAAACCCGAGAGAAACCCAAGCAGCCCAGCACTGCCCTTCTACACCAAAATACAGAGCTGTGTGTGGGCAAATTATCACTGCCCCAGTAGCAAYCTCTGCAGAGAGCTGCAGCCAAAATTCAGAAAAGCTTCATTTTACCTTAATGGARGTGGTTACCTTGGGGTACAGCTGGATCCCTGGCCTGCTGATTGACACTGGGCTGATTCCCTGACCCTCACTGCTTCTTAAAGACTGCAGCCAGTTGTGAAGTTACTTAAAGCTTGGGCTTTAAGAGAAAGGTATAAAAGAAAAGCCCTTTTTACAATAAATCTGACTGTGTAAAACACCTGCTTCCYCAGAGGCATCGGTGACCTCAAAATTCAAGAATCCACCATGATTTCTGGGCACTCAGMTGCCGCTTGCAGTTTCAGTGCAGCCCTGACTGTGAGCAGGGCTGYAAAAGCAGAAAGGCATTAAAAGGTTTGGGTTTGTTTTTTTGTGAAATGTGCTCAAAAAAAAATCCCAGGAGGAGAATGTAATGAAAAACACATCCACAGCACGATGATGAGCTGACATGGGGCACACAAGAGGCAGCATGGCTGCTGCTTCCAAGCCCACTGGAGATGGAAAGGAGCAGCCTGGAGCACTTTGAAAAGTTTGCAGCTCCCAAACCAAGAGAAGGGAGGGTCAGGAAAAAGAGGCAGGGGCTGGGAAAACAGAGCAGAGAGAAATCCGAGCTAGCAGGAGTTTGTGCAGCCGGGACGGGCAGCCTTTCCCTGCAAGGCAGCAGGGGAATGCGCCTGGTCCAAGGGCACAGCCCGCGCCTGCCCCTGCACAGCCGAGGAGCAGTAAATAGTTAATTCATGGTACAGATAAGCACATTATGCAGCACGGCTCAATGCATTATTCACCAGGGCTTGCGGGAGAAACCCAGCACAGGGGAAGGAAGGGAAAGGAGGAGAAATTTGTGCTTCCTCAAAGAGCGCTTTGATTTTGTGGAAGATTAGGATGACGGTGTGCGGTTTCCCTTCAGAGTACCTTAAATAAACACACTTCCACCCAGCAMCAACATCCCTCAGAGCTTTTGCTGGGCACACAGGTGAGAAGCTCGGCACCTGTTGMACGGAAATGCCAGAAGAATGCAGCGGAGAAACCGAGGCACGCTGCATCCCTTGGAAACAACCTCACAACGCCAGCATTTCCAACCGCACCGCCCGCAAACCCCAGCACATCCAACCGCGGCTCCGAAGGAGCACTCCTGGCTGCCTCCTCTTCCCTGCGGCTCGGAATGGGAARAGAGAGATGCAAAGGCAGCAATTAAACATTTGCAACAAAAGGCACGGACGGCAGGCAGCACGAACGCGTCCCGGTACATCTCACCTAGCAAGCAGAGAATCCCGCACAAAGCAAAGGCTGCGTCCCACAGCATCACCACCTCACTGCTCCCGAGACCAAGCGCCTTGTTTTACCAAGTCCCAGCGCCCTGGAATCATTCCTCCTTTTAATTCCCTACCGCTGCGTGGCCAGCGAAGCCAGGCTGGAGCCCCGCCGGGTTCCAGGGCCAGCGGTGAAGCCGCGGAGGAGGCGGCGGGGCTRCGCGCCCGCTCGCAGCGCGGAGGGGAACATCCCGGGGAGCCTCTCCCGCCGCCCCGTCCCGCCGGCTCCGGGGAAGTTGTGCCGCGGCCGCCGCACTTACCCAGGACGAAGCAGAGGAAGCGCCGCGGGAGCAGGGCCATGGCCCCGCGGCAGGAGCGGCTCCGCTCCCGGGGCCGGGCGGGCTCCGCGCCCGCGGCGCTGCGGGAGGGGCGGRCCCGGGGCGGGCGCGGCTCCGCCCGGCTCCAGCGCCGCTCCCACCCCGCAGAGCAGGGGGAACCGCCGGGATGAAGCCCAGGCAGGCTCTCGTTATCGCCGTCTCGTCCCCGCAGCCCAGAGCCGCGGCAAAGGGAACGAACAGTTGCGAAGGACAGCACAGGCAAGTCCTTCCTTCGGTTTGCTTAGCCCCGCTTTCATCTCCACTGCGGGAATTTCGGCCTAACTAAAAAATCCTACCTTCCCCCCTTTTCTAGTGTTGAATATACACATGCAACGCAATTTTAGGGAGAAATGTTTGGTGGTTTCTTCTGTTTATTTCAGCGAGTGTAACATCGTTCCTGAGCTCCGACAGCTCCACCTGCAGCTCGTTACCGAGTTGTGCCTGAGCAGCAGAGCCTGCCTGGGCTCCTCCGGTGCTCTGGATCAGGATACGCCCTTGGGAGCAGGCGAGGGCTCTGCCTGCAGGCGAGGTCACTGCCCCACAAACTCGGTTCTCTCACATTTGAAGCCAGCTCTCCCTTTCAAAGAGAGAACAATAAGGGGAATGTGAAGAACACCACAGTGTGGTAACTGGAGTCTTTCACATCATGCTTTCCCAGAGGGAACACAACAGCTTCACAGGCCAGACAGGCAGTTCTTCCCAAACTATTAACACCTGCCTAATTACAGAGTCAAGGCGGGGAACAGAAACAGCAACAGCCGTTGCTAATGATGCGGCAGAGCAAAGCCTGCGGCTGCTTTCATCTTCACAGACCAGGAAGACACCAAAGCTGATGCCTCACCTGCTCTGACAGCAGCTCTGCTACGAGGAAAGGGAGTAGAAGAGATATGAAAACAGAACAACATTGGCCCAAACTTCTGAAGAACAAATTTTAACCTTTATTGACAGTAAACAGTAAACAAGGCTGCTCATTCCAGCAGCAACTGCAGCAGAATCTAGAACAAAGTACAACGAAGAGACCAAGTCAGTATAGAGGAATTTGGACCAGAATCACCTTTTTTTAAATATGTTACATACTTGTTTCTTACTATGGAAAGATGGGGATTCTTTTTCTCCACAATTTACTAATGATTTGGTTACTTCACACCTCACTCATGATGAAAATAAAAGTTATTGTAAGTCATCATCTCCCTCACAAAGCAAAGTACCATAATAAGAACAATTATGACCGCAGAGCCCACACACCACTTAACCAAATAATCACTCCACAAGGAAAGCACAACGCATTTCGAGGCTGTTAAAACCTTACTGACTGAAAATGCTTCCAAGCGTACAATTTTATTTTTGGGGGGATGAGTTTTTGTCTCTATCTGCAGCCCTTTCACTCATCTGCAGTGAAAGTCAGATTTAATACAATGCCTTTTCTTTTTTTTTGGAGAAAACCTGGTAGTGGCACTGGCAGCAAGTAACTGTAGGTACTAAAAGCAAGCAGAGTATCAAGATCAGCAGGAGAGCAAAAGAAGGATGGATAGACATATYCTGGAATTCTGAGCTGTGGTTTCAGCTCATTCAGCTTGCTGCAGATTCCCACAGTACCACATGATCGTTCAAAGGCATCAGTGTGAAAAAACTACAGGACACACAATCTGATTCTGTCAGATTTCTAGTGTGGAGCTGGACCTCAGACACCAGAGAGAAATCATCCATTTTTTGAATCAAAACTGAGCCAGTGCTGGGATTCCTTTATGAAAGGCTGCACAAGGCCTGGCCATTAGGTGTCAGCTTTGTACAGAACATGTGTGACAACGCCCTCCACGAAGTTTATTAGTAAAGCAGTTCAATAATTAACCACCACATCAAGTTTTATAGAGCACACAGAGCCAACCTTTTTACAGCTCCCGGTCCTTACAAACCAGTGCTCCAGTGGATTCACTCTGGTACCTCCTGCAGAGCTTTAGGCTAAATTAATCTAGTCAGGCTGTAGAGCTACACAAACTCAARTGGGTTTATTCCCCCTGAAGACTGAAATACTCACCTTTCTCACTGCTTTTCCTGCCTAGAACAGCGCATTGATTTTCTCAGAATGGCAGAAGCCTTTTCCTCAATAGAACTGATGGCCAAGCCACTCAGGACACCTTTGTTGATTTTCCTCACCTCCTGCACAGCRTTCACAATTTCATCTCTGTGGGATTAAAGAAAGAACTGTTTACACACTGCATTTTGTGCAACACATTTAGCACTTGGTTACCATGGATATTGGCTCCATTACAAATCAGAGCTGGAGAGAAATCCCAATATCTCACCTGCTAAACTCTGGATGCCTTTCTTGAAGTCTCTTTATTAACTTGGTAAAGCTGCTCAAGTTCAGTGCATAAGGAGAAACAAAGACACCAGTTGAATTTATGGAAGGAGTGGGTGTTTTCTGCAAAGACTTTTCTCCAGGATCCTAGAATTGCATCAAAATAAGGAAAAAATGAATGGGTTAAGTGTTGTGAAGGTAATACAACATCTCTTTCCTACCAATAAATAYAAACCCACAGAATGGTTTGGGATAAGGCACCTCAAAGCTCATCTTATTCCTGCTACTTAAATTAGATCCAATTACCAATTCCCAAAGGGTGAGCATGTTCAAAGTGAAATCCCCAAAGACAGAATATCTATATGGTTTATGAGAGSAACATCAGCAGTTACTGATTTGCCCATTACTCTCCAAGGATCAAGCTAAGCCAATAACAAAACACTCTATTAGTATGTAGAGGTTTCTTAAATCTATGCTAAAAAATTCAAGAGTTTCTTTCCCATCCAGCATCCCAAAATCTTTCCTGTATAAAATCACATGACGTTTACATTTTTTAAAAAGGTTGTACAAGATGGAAAATCTAGTGCAAATGGGTAAATTCCAAACTGTTTAGGATTAAGAAAAAACAGCTGGAGTATCAGAGTTTGATGCAGGTGAAAAAGAATGGCGCTCTCACTTTCCTGCCACGTGCCAGAAATTAATTACCAATATGCAACTATCCAATATCTTAACATAATTTTCTATGTATTAAATGTTATGAGACAAGAAGTTTTAAGGCTCTTAGTCTGCCATACGAAGGAGTGTTAGTCATAATTACTTATCTTTTGATTATCTCCAAGCAAAGACTGTCCCAACTCTTGAATAGGTGATTTCAGATCAGGGCACTTGGTAGTAAATGCAGAATATGAAAGAACCCATTCCTACTACAAAATAAGTAAGACCAGACTTACCGGAGGTACTGAGGGTTTTGGGCCACCAGMATGAACAGAAGGATCTTTCTTCCTGATCTCCACTGTCCTCACTTCTAATAAATGTAAGAAAGCAAAGAGTTACTACCTCTTCTCAAGCCAACACTTTCTCAGTAGATTTTGGAAAGCCTAGAGAGAAAATCTTCAAAGAAACTCAGAGGAAGAAGAGGCTCTTCTAACAGAAAATGACTGTCCTGAGAACCACAACAGTTCAGTTTGTGGAATATCATTTCCCTGAGTATTTCCTCAGATTTGGAGAGGCAGAAGAGGCTGAGGAAACACTGCTCTGAACTAACAGGTACCASTGGTGAGGGCTGGAAAAGAGCCCCCCAAGATCTCTGCCTTCAACACCCTGCAACTTCTCATCATGCCCATCGCTATGRCCCAGGTCTACAAACACAAAACATTTGCATCTAACTCTCGAGAGTCCAGCATGGGAAGGAAGSAGAAAAAGAAGGAAGAGAAGAAAACAAGGAACATTTCCAGATATGTGACTGGCTGGGCATTTACTGATTTGAGTTTGAGCACTGTAGGTGAAGTTTTCAAGGAAAAACATGGATGAAAACAGCTGAGTATCTACAAGGATTTGCTGCAAGTCAATGCAAAAACAAGTCAGAAAACCCAGCTGGCATTTCTTCCAAGCCTACTTATGCTTGTAAAAGGAAAAGACTAAATAATAAACAAGCCCCCTTATTTGTTATTTTTTCAGCTAAAAGCACACGACTTTACCTCTTGAATCAATCTTGTCTTGTTTTTCTTGTTGCTTTTTTGTTTCTTTGCACATTACTGAAAAATCTGCCATTGACAAGTCTTCCTTAGCATCAAACCAATACTCACTCCCTTCCTCACTTTTCGCACAGCCTTGACAGTTGGGATAAAATTCAGTGTGTTAAAATTCAAACTGTGGTATGCCATATGAATGAGTATCAAATTCCTGTATTTAAGAGGATTCCAGCTACCCACATCACTTGGTAACACATTTCAAAGAGGTGACACTAGTTTTGAATTCTAATTCAAGTAGATTTTTTTWAAAAGATATAATAATATAGAGCTCTCGAYTATTATGTACAAATAAATTTTGATWGCTGATAGATAAGCATTCCATCAGGGAAAGGACAGCTGTGTTACCATACATATGTTTTACATAGGGTTATTTTCTCCCCCAAAAGCTTAGCTCACAAATAAGGGATGATTTTTACTGAAAGTAGATCACTCACCACGTTCCAGAGCCTGATCTTTAGGTTGTTCTTCCCATGTCTCAGGGRAAGCAGAGTCATTTCGCAGATCACCATCAGTCTGTGACTTGTTCTACAAAATTTTTCAGTTATAATCAAGTGGAAGTGCTTTGATATAAATTATTCCTCAGAGTATCAGTCCATAAAACAGGTGAATTTTAGAAAGTTAACCTGCTGATCAACTTCAAGAACCCCCAAGTTATTTTATTTTGAAAGGGCAGTCAAAACTGTAAACACATGAGTTGGATTTGTGATTAGTGGCAGAGGATCCCAGGCTGAGGCCTAAAAGACTCTGATTACATTTGCAGGTGCTTAAAAGGAGACAATTCTCCTCAACATTAACATCTACAAAACCCAGCAGTGAAGAATTCCCTACCATATTGACAGAAATCCCCTTATCTTGCACTTTTGGTTCTTCAAAGTCAGCTTTCCCTTCACCTGAAAGATCACTAAAACACATCCAAGAATTTCATACAAAATATGGCACAGCAACTTTAAATTCTACAATGATGCCAAATACTCTGACACATTAAATATTTCCAAAAGCTTACAGTAAAATAAACGCAGTAACTCTTGGCTTTTTTTTATTGTATCTAAATAGCCTTCTGTGTCATGTTCTGATGTATTCCTTACAATTCAAAGTATGTGTGTAACTTTTACTAATTATCTACAAAACAAACTAATTCCACTTCTTCTTGATTAATTTTACTCATGCTTAACCAGGAATTTCAAACAATCTCTAGCAGTTTAYCCAATTCAGTAAAACTTACTGCCAAATTTGTTTTTATCTCCACTTACACAAMGTCACTGAATGTGGTTCCTGAAGACATGGTATCATGTACTGGCCTGAAATACAGTTGGTTTTCAATCATTCTTCATATCTGTATGATAATTCTAGCAGAACAGCTTAATATTATCTCTGCCGGCACGGAAGTTTTTTTGAGTTTTTGTGGTTTGCAATTTTTTTTTGGTTGCTTGGTTTTTAAGACAGATGCCATTATAACCAGAGACAAAGATTTTTAGCAGTGAAAGCAGGGAACCAGGAAAAACACATTTAATTTGAAAACTTTTACYATAAAGACAGTGAAGATACTCCCTAGTTTGCATACTAGAACACTACAGAGTAAAAATGCCCTTCAAATAAAATCTTTGAGCCCACAAGGGAATGCTAATCTTTCAACTAAACAGTCTGAAACAAGATAAACCTATAACTTATTTCAGGATGTAACATCTTAAAAACTCATTTCTCATTTATTTTTAACTTAGTAAGTACAACAACAAATGAAAGCTACTTACTCAGAGTAAAGATTCTTTCTGAGAAACTGTCAAAAAAAAAGGAGAAAGATTTATCCATAATTATCTTAATTAGAAAGCAATTTACATTAAAACCAAAAAACAAGAAATTACCTTGGAAGGGGTGTAAAAGGAAGAGACTGTGGAAAACTTCAGCTCAACTGACAGTGGTGGAAGTTCATTTAAAGGTACGCCCATGTTTATTCCCATTATCATATTGCTGTAATTATTGTCTAGCTCGTCCAAAACCAACAGGAGAGATGAATACAACTCACTCTTTTCCTCACATCTGTTGAAATAAGGGTAAGAAAATAACATCAACTCAGACAGACATTTCACTGATTTTACTGTTTCTGGAAATGCCCCAAGATTGTGCAGGGTTTAAAGACTCGCTTACATTTTACTAGAACATGAATTAACAACTATATGGTGCATCACTTGGGTTTTATTCCTAGCAAAAAAAGGTAGATTTTGGGACTGTGAATGCTACAAAAAAAAATGAGGTTGGAAATAAGACTTGGGGGGTCCTCTGGACAACAACACTAACTATAAATACTCCTGGAAGATATGCACAGAATATATCAGTATCACTCAGCAATTTTTGACTGATAACCAGTTATTCATTTTATTTAAAAGCACATTAAAGTACATGCCTCCCAAAACAGGTGTTTTCCTCCAAAGCCAGCTCATAAACCTTCAAGCAGTGCTGGTAGCACATCTCGTAATGGATGGTCAGGAGCTGCAGTTCCGCTTCAGTTGCTCTCTGCAGGATGTTTTGACAGCAGCTTGATGCAGAATTCTTCCCAGTTTGCTTGTTGGGACGTTCTGACCTTTAAAATCACAGTAACAGAATATTGATTCCAGGGCTTCAAAATTTTGTTTACATTTATTGTGTTTTATTTTGAAGCAAGGAGCTTGCCAGAAGCTATTTCTGATACAAATAAAGGAAAATCCTATTTAGACCACAATAATGATTTACAGTAGCATTAGTGTCAGTTTTAACTGAGAGGTGGGAACTGCACAGGCACCATAACAATTTCTATCCAAAAAGTGAAGTCTTAGTAACCAAAAGGAACTTAGCAATGCTGTGGATCTGCACACACACTTATTTTGTTTTCGCAGCCAGGGAATCATYWAGGTTGGAAAGGATCWCTAGAGGTCTGCAAYRGCAGAACAAGGCTGCTGTGGTCTTTGTTCAACTTCAGGAGATTTGCAGCYCACTCTTCTCATCTGTCCAGAGAAAGTGCTGCCCAGAAAGCTTTTGACACCATCATTTTCACTAAGCCACAGACAACCTTTTAATCATGGACAAAACCTCCTATCCAGATTCTCAAATTCCAAACCGAAAACAACTCCTGACCTACCTGTTGGTGCCTGTCTTCCAATCACAGCAACACAGATGATCTTTTAATTCCTGCTTCTCAAAAAAAAAAAAAATAAAATTACAGATTAGCGCCCATTCAGACAAACTGAAGTCAAAAATGTTCTATAAAAATGATTTGGTGGTCCTTCTTGTTTTGTTTCAATTACCTGAAAGCGTAAGTTCCGGGCTCTGAATGACCATTCTGTGTTGGAAGCAGCATCCGTGAAGCTTTGACCCAGCCATCCCATGGGTCGAGTTTTGTTCATCATCGTTATTTCTGTATTAATTGCCCTGGAGCAGAAGCAAACCTGGGCACTGCTGCATCTGCTCGCTGGGAAGCAAACTCTGAGATCAGAGCTGGCATCCGTAGGATGCACAGTTGCACAGGCACTGGGAGCACTCTTCAGGGCTTCACCACGCTCCAACTTCACTGCGCTGGGGCTTCCACCAGTGGATTTATCCRCAGCTTCCACGCCAGCACCAGGATTCTTGCTAGGGAGCGTTTCAGAGACTGGGAATTGGGTTTCAGCACCTTCTGCAGTGCTGTCACTACCACGTGTGCACAGCGGAGGTTTTTCACAGCTGCTGAAACTGGAGGACTCCACACGTTTGCAAAGTGGAGCCCTTTCCTTGGGTGACAGGAAWGGAGTGTCTGGCTCCACTGCCACGCTGTGGGTGTGTCTGTCGCTCTTTCCAGACTCTTCTTCCCCTGCAGTGATTTGAGGTGGCACCTTGTCACCAATCAGCAGCATGTCCTTCACCTCTCCAGTCTGCCTCTGCTCAGAAAACTCATCTGAGTTATCCTTATCCTCCTCATACTCCTCGTGAGCACTCAGATACTGCAGCTGGGATTCATCACCTAAATCTTCACCCATAAAGGAGGTCTGAGTGAAGCAACTCCTTTTGCTGTTCATATGGCTGATCTTTTCCACTTCCATGGCGCCAACACGCTCTCCTCCTCCTCAGGAATCCACCCAACTCACTTCCACTCCAACCCCTTAAAGTCACTGCTTTGGCTCTTCCTACCTTAATAAAAATCAAGAAAAATTCAAGATGGCTCCATGGTAGACACAAAAAGACAAAAAGCCACATTAAACCACGCTCTCTTTAACCCTACTGTATGCTATTAGAGCTGTTGGGAATTCTGAAGTGCATTCCTGAAGAAATCCCAAGAGCTGATTTCTGAATTGGTGGCATCCCTGTTGATACACAGAGAGCTATTCACATCATACAGCAAAGTGTTCAAATAAAAGTTACTTATATTAAGGAAGAGGTGAACTTGGAGCTCTGTGTCTCCCAAAAACTAATAACTCCTTCGATGCTGGACAAGGGGGAAATTAAAAATTATTCCTCTTAATTCTGGGAAGGCAAGAAGGAATAGTTACCAAGGACAAAATCATAAGAAAACCTGAGAATCTTTATAACCAGAAAGTCATGAAGGAACACAGGAAGATCATTTAGCAACAGAAGGAAGCTGGAAAATTCATCAGACCAAAGCAATACACCTRCTCTGAACTTCCAGCAAACCCAGTTTTGTTAACAAACACAAACAAAAAGCGTGCAGGGGTGGAAGATGCTCTTTGTGAAGCTTGTTTCTTAKGAATATTGTCAACTGTTCTCTGCCTTCCTCTCAGAAGCTTCTAACAAAGAAAAGAATGCATAAAAACATTCGACATAGTTCTTAATTATGTCTGCTTTCCAAACTACTTAAATGACACATCTCCATTTTAGTCAGTCTCTGACAGTTTCCCAGGGGGAAACACTAAGGATTGATACAGAAATGTTCAAATATTCAAACCTCCCACTACCTCARGTTGCTCCAAGCGCCATCCAATGTCATCTTGAACATTTCCATGGTTTAATTATACATTTCTACAGTTATTATTTTGCTTCAGAAACGTCGTCTTTTTAAAATTACATTACCTTCACCCCCTAYTTGAAACTTCGAGCAGGTCCGTGGAATTAAAAAGCCAAACGCTGCCAAGGCATGTCCCAGATGCCTGTGTAGAAATCACATTATTATCACAGAGAAGCGACTTTCCCCCCTCACTTTTCCCTTAAGAACCAAAACACCTCCACGTCCCAGAAAAGTTACAATAACCTTCCTTCGCTGCAAGTGACACAACCAAAAGCTGAACCACAGCCGAGCCCGTCCCCGCCGCAGCGCCGGCTGAGGGCGGGAGAGCCCTCGGGGCAGGCCGGTGCTCCCGCTCACCCACGAGCAACCCCCAGGGGGGAGAACGGCGTCTCACCGCAGCTCCAGGGCAGGCTGAGGCGCGGTTCCGCTGCCCGGACGAAGCCCCCCGGTCCGGTCCGGTCCCGCACCGCGGCCGCTCCCGTTCCGGCTCCCCGCGCCTCAGCGCCGCCACAGCCCCGACCGCCCGCCACAGCCCCGCCGCACACGCGCCCGGCGCCTGGCGCTGCGCCCCGCGCTCATTGGCTGCGGCGGGGAGCGCTCCGACGCCTGATTGGSCGGCGCGGAGCCCGCCCTCGCCGCGCGTGGCTACTCCACCCTTCCCTCAGAGCCGGTACCGCCCTATCCCCTCGGAACCGGTGTCGCCCTATCCCTTCAGAATCGGTGCAGCCATGCCCCCTTAGTGCCGATACCACACTATCCCCTCAGCCGGTATCGCCATATCAGAATTGGTACCGCTGTCTCTCCTCGGAGCCGGTAGCGCCATATCCCCTCAAAAGCAGCTGCCGCCGTGTCCCCTCAGGGTCGGTACCATCGTGTCCCCTCATGGCTCTCCCCTCACGGTCCCTTCCCTCACGGCTCTCCCGCCGCTGAGCACTGACAGACCAAAGAGCAACCGGCGGGGAGAGAGCGCAGCAGCCCTTGTACAGCTGCTACAGAATCGCAGAATATCACGAGTTGCACATGATCCACAAGGATCATCGGTCCAGCTCCTGGCCCTGCAGACACTCCCAACAATCCCACCCTGTGCGTCCCTGAGAGCGTTGTCCCCGGACTCCTGGAACTCTGGCAGCCGTGGGATCTGACCATTCCATGGAARCCTGTTCAGTGCCCAACCACCYTTTGATGGAAGAACTTTTCCTAACATCCAGCTCAAACCTCGCCAAGCACACATTAAAACCTACCTGAGTTTTGAGCCTGAAGGAAAGCATTGCAGGAGCAGAGACAAATGCAGTTACCTACCTGCCACACAGGTACACGTTACTTGTGCAAAGGGCTCTGCTTCTTCCTTTAAACACGTATGTCTAAAGGCTGTAAAAAAGTGTGTAAATCATCACTCAGCTGCCTAAAAGACATGAGACTTAGAGCCTCTAAAGCCAAGCGAGACAAGAACTATCCTCCTCCTTATTCTCTTTCATGTAAGTGACTGCTTTGGCAACACATCAGGGCAAGATGAAGTTTAATACCAAAACAGTATGTTTTTGATGAACCAAGCTGCYTCCTGTTGAGAAGGATTCTTCCTGTTGTGAAGGATTCTTGCAGGGAAAGTTAATGTGTGGGCTACCTCTATGTTCACCATAAATAAAAGTGGAGAATTTAATCCAATTAGGAACAGCCTTCAGATTTCTCCTGATGGGGCAATGTCCCTGTCTTTCCCCACCCCAAGTGCACCTGGCCATTAAAATATCAAAATTTGGAGGTGTACCCTGCCATTTAAAATGTTGATGTTTGGAGGTATGTTTCACACCAGTGCCCTCAGTCACACAAGCCCCTGAATTTCTACATTTTGCAACCAGTGTAACTCATGTTTTGTGTGATCCTGCAGCAATGTGTTAAAAAAGAAAATGAGCTGTTACACCCGTATCACCCCAAAGGTCAGTATTTTCCAAGAGAATGTGCACTGGTAACATCACCATGGACAGACCACTCCATAAAAACTACCCAAACAAGTGACATTTTATTGGCGAGTTCTGCTCATAATGAATTTCCTTTTCCACGCTCACATCTCCTAACAGAGCAGTTGGGGAAAAAAAAAACCAAAACAAAAACATTTTGGGTAACATTCCACTTGCAAACGAYAAAAACCATTTAACATTTAAAAATAAAATAGAGGGTAACAAATTGAAACAGAAGTTCTAGGAAAACCCATTCTGGATCCCCCAGGAGCTGTTCCTCGCCTGGCTGCCGCCACCTCGGCCCTGCTTTGGGTACCGAGGTGCTCTCGTTTGGAGCTCAAATGAAAGGACTGGGACATGTGCTGTTATTACCATTGGCATCATTACCAATGGCATTATTACCATTATTACCATTATTACCATTCAGAGCCCTGTTGTTGTACATTCTTCACAGAAAAACATAGAACAGTTTGCAGTAAACCAACCAGTTCTTTTTCTTCCCTTATTCTAAAGCTAAGTCATACTCAAAGTTGGGGGYAGGGGGAAAATGTGGCTTCAACATTCACCTACTTTTATCACACACAAAGGTTTCTACTAAGAGCATATCCAGGTTGAAATACACATCTGATTTTCGTCATGAGGTTAATGCTTATGGGGTGCGAGATGAAATCTACTTCRAAATGATAAACACATCCCTTTTTCATGAACAAAGTCTTATTTTTTGCCTTTTGGACCAATACTTGGTTGCTGGCTTCTTTCTCCTGAACCTTGCCAGGACAGGCAGCTTTCACCGCTGCCACAAATGAACAGATGACTGGTGGCAATCACACACCTTACTGTTGGTAAGATGTTGTATTTAGCACATTTATTGGCATTCTGAAAATCCCTTAGCTCGTTTTTTTAGGCCCCAGAGGCTTTGTACACCAGAAATTACACAAGTCAAGCACAGAAAATTGTAAATTGGTATCCACAGCCATTTTGAGGTATTCCACAAGAAACCYGGCTCTGCACCTGAATGTTCCTCTCAAAAACAATTAAAAAAAAATGAACCCAAAGCCCTAACTGGAGTGGAAATTTAATTTTAAAAGATTCCTTCCATCCCAATGTTTCACCACATTTCATCAACAAGGACATACTTGATTCCCCAGGGGCACAAAAAAAGCTTCTTCATCCTTTTCCTGGAATAATAATTTCAGTACTTCATTCCTAAATTTCCTTGGGCACTGGGAGGAGATGAAGACGAGGGTGTTGTTTCCTAGCCAAGCCAGAGAAACACATTCAGACAGTGGTTTTGGTTTATTTAATTTATGAAGGTGCTCGAGGAAGATACCAGTGATCCCCTTGCATTGAGAATAGCAGCGGTTCCTACTCTAACCTCCCGTCTGCGAGGAAGAGGCTGGGGAAAGACCTGGATCGCAGGGTCTGAAGACCAAGTTAGGAAGAAATGTGATCTCCTGGGTCTGGATTTGGCTTGGTAGAACCTCTTGAGGCAGTCATGGTTGCTCCTGCGGGACAGGAGATGCTGCTCCACTGCGTGAGCAGATCCTGAAGGGACTGGCTTTCCTGTTAGGGCTGAAGTGGGACAGGCAGCTTTATTCCTCAGGTAGCCACTGCTCTCCTTTGAGTAGTACATTCAGAATGAGTTCCAATAAGCCAGAGCTGTAGTGCCAGTTGTGTGTAACTTTTATACACACAAGAATTGCCTGCAACATCTTAACTGGTTACGCTGTTCTGCAGGAGAAGTGGAAAACCTTTGTAATGATCTTAGAAGGAAATAACTCGCTACTTCCGGAGCTGTAGAAAACCCATAGGCAGTAATATTTTCTAAAGTGCTTCTTTACTTATCAGTAACTCTTTTAAAAATCAGACTTGTATTTTGTAGCGGCATCTTTTCCTAGGTCATGGACCAGCAGATAGTTTCTGATGTAAAAAACCCATTACATATTTTGTTTAAGCAAATGACACTTGCTTTGATAAATGCACCGAAGAGAGTGATCTAAGTGCAAACCCCACCATTTCTGAAAATACAGCCTTATGCTGGTTTATTAATGCAACCTTACATCCTTTAAAAGTCATTTACTTCAACTCCAAGAGCAGGGATTAAATAATACAAATAAAAATTGAAAATTCAATGAAGCTATTGCCTATTTACCCTGAAATAAAAGAGTCTCACGATTCTACTGGTGCAAAAATCCCTCCAAACACATTTGTTTTATTGGCAAAGTCATTTAAGGTCACTTTTGCTTCCAAGACCATCTTATTCCATGGTTTCCACTGAAGGAGTTTTGCTTTGTAATGGCTTGTGGTTCCACAGTGATTTGTAAATGAAAAACCTACTATGAATAACTCTACTGTAGTCACTTAATTACAGATACTGTCATGAGAAAAGTCCCAAAACTTACAGTGTTTGTTTTAAAATTTTCAGCAAGACATAAAATTCCAGTCAAAGTGTTTTCTTTGAGTGCCATTTTAAACGGCAATAAATGGCTGCTGTGCCCTCTGGATGGAGAATTCCATGTGCTTTTTATGTATTGTACTTGGAGTGTCCCCAGCGCTCGGCTGGGCTCCTGCGGGCACAGCCACTCGGATCAGCTCCTCCTATGGATGTAGTGCAGCAGGCTGGGATCTGCAGGAGCCACTGGCTGGGTGGCACGGAGCAGGTGTTGGGTGGCCTGTTCTCAGAAGGCAATGACACGAAGCGTCCYGGGCAGCAGGACACAGAAGCAGCTGCGACGTCGTTCCCGTTCCAAGTAGTGGTGGTTTCCRTGGGAGGGGGTGGCTATTGCTGGGACAGCAGAGCGCTCCGGTTGGCCTTCATCTTCTCCAGCCGCTTCACCAGGTGGCCATTGCTGACCTCCAGCTCTTCTGTTTTATCCAGTGCTGAACGAAGCTGAAGGAAGGAAGGAAGCAAACAGAAAGAAGCTGTGACTTTCACCATGTTTTCCCTTTCTGAAGGCAGAACCAGGTTTGTAGTTACCAACCCTAATTGACCATATTAGCTTAAAACATAAAGGAATTGAAAATTCCTTTAGCAGAGTTAAGAATGTGGAACAAAGAAGGCCTAGTTAAAAAGAAATGTGGTCTCCCAAGTCTGGATTTGGCTTGATAGAATTGTGTTTCTTGAAGCAGTCAGCATGAACAGAAAGTTACTCCCATGGAACAGGAGATGCTGCTTCACAAGAATTTCTCTAAATCCAGAGGCACAGSGCTCTGGGTGATGTAAACCTGTCTCACTGCTCAGCTTTTATGTTTCTGGTTCCCTGAACTACTTCCAGAGCTGTGACTCGGAGTCTCAGTTTCCTGTAAAACCCACCATYGGATCAGAGTAAAGGAGACAGAGGTGGACTGCACAGAGCAATATTTAGGCAGCAAAGCAGAAGGAGTATTTAGAAAAAGCAGAGCCACACTGAAATAAAAATCAAAACACTGCAGTAGGCAGTGTGAGAGAAGCTGATAAAAGTGTTCAGGCTCTAAGAGACAGAGGTATGGACAGATCTGTGGACAGCAACATTACCCCAAACAAGTGTGAACAGATTGGCAGAGCAAGAAAAACAGGCTCACAAAGAACAACTGACACCCCTTTAGAAAGTCTGCTTAGGGAGGAATGGTGAGAAGACAGTAGGAGCTCATAGCTGTGACTGTTAATCCAGTTTGAGTGCTGAAAATGTGGCTGCACGTTAAGGAGTAACTAAAGCAATTTTAAAAAAATCAGATGTTTATTCTTTGCTGTGCCAAGAAGGATGGTTCCTCCTCTGAAACACCCCAGAGAGGCAGGTTTCCCCCACATGGAGCAGGCTGACCTGTGACAGCTGCAGGCACAGTTACCTCTCTCTGCAGTTTGCGTTTCTCTGCCTTCAGTTCGTCTTCCACTCGCTCAGCATTTTCAGCAGCAGTTTTGTATCGGGCTACCTGGCCTTCCAGTCGTATTACCTGAGGTGAAGGCAAAGGTTTGGAATTAGAAGCTATATCAAGAAGTTACTCTGAAGCTTTACTCTTCCACTACTGAAGAAATAACCAGAGAGATGCTAAATCCTCTTCAATAAAATAAAAGCATATTTTCAGGGAACCAAGGTAGCCTGGCAACAGTAACTTACCCCCGACCTTTTATAAGTATCCGTATTTAATATGCTTCCAGCAAGAAAAAAATACAGTCCATTGACTAAATTTCTTTTAGCAAGAGCACTGCTGATGTACTCTGGACAAGAGAAAATAATCAAAATGGAACAGCTGTGTATAAAAATCCATCTATACGACATCATATGCTGGGAGCCATTTAACAATTGTTGATAGCTAGGCATAAYGAAGTGTTCTGCAGAGTTCAGCAAGTATTTTTGTCTTTGAACATTCTTCCTTTAGTACAGAGGAATAATATATTCCTTCTTCCCCACACATAAATGTCATGGTAGCCCTCATGCTCCAACACTCCTGTTTCTTAAGGGAAAATCACATTAAGCATRTTTTCATTTATCATTTATCAAAATACACATTCCCTTTGTGTTCTCACCATGCCTGAACAAACAGAACAAGCCAAAAAACTTACATTCTGCTCCAATGCTGTTATCTCTTGCTYAGACTTTGCTAGTTTAAATTTGAGATCACTGATCTGTCTGTTGGCATCTCCTAAAAGAATTGCAGATTTTCAGAGTTGTCAGAACAAGTGCGAACAGTTTCTAACAAGGCTGTCATAAAATTTCCATGCATCAGGGATCTAYATGGGGCAGCAGGAGAGTAGCTCTCTCAAAAAGTGCCCAGCAGAGAGGCACCAATCCCAGTGTTGCCTGATTCCCTTCCAATCACTCTGAAAACAGAATTAATCTGAACTCACCCCAGTTCTCCTGAGGAGCAATAATAGAGATTTCCAACTGCAGTCTTAAAGGCTCCTAATTCCCTCACCTCTGTAGAGGTGCATGGCTGTTCCCAGGCTGAAACTCCCTTGGAACAGAGGGCTCATTCTCACTCAGAGMCATGTGGTTATTATTGTACAGATACATTTTCTCACTCACATGCAGGGCACAAAATTCTCTTTAAAATCAAAACACAGCTCACTTTGGAGGTCAATCATGTGCATATCAGTCCCATTTTCCAGAACTTCATCTTCTGACTGTGTATTTTCCGCCTTGCCATTCYTTTGCTTTTCTTCCAGTTGTCCCTTTAATTTTTTAATCTGAAGGACACAAAACAGGTATTAAAATCACTAAGGGAAAATTATGGCTCAAATTCACTCCAGTATTAGATGACAAATCATATCTTTTTTAAGCCTACATTCCAAAAAATCTTTTGTTACAAAATAACATCCTAGAAATTCTTTTGGCAAGTGACTCAYAGTATTTTATGTATCAATGCTTATAAACAAGTTCAGGATGGAAACAGTGAGTGAAAGATGACTGGTTTATTAGAAAAGCCATAAATTTTTCTCGTAAAACATTCTTAGAAACCCCCAAAACTGTGTTTGGTTGTGTGCAAGTCTCAAGGCCAAGGTCTCAGAGCAGAAACAAAAGCACAGAGTGTCCTGCAGGGACACAGATCAGCTGAATTTTTTTGAATAAGCTTTACAGCCACTATGGAATACCATGGTACCAGCAATAATTACTTTAATTGCTCTTTACCCATCAACTGTGTATCTCCAGCATATCTTTCCAAATGGCCCATTACCCATAGACTCAGCAACTGGGAGGGCTTACTCTTGGAAAGAAAATTTACTTTACAGTTTCTGAGCCGTATGTGTTTTTCCTTTGGGYTTGGCCAATCGGAAGGATTATTACTTGAAAATAGTCCTGGAGAGGGAGTTTTAGGTGACTGAGGACACTGAATGCAGCCAACAGCATTTCCCTTCCCCTGTGATTACCTGGTCTAGCAAGGACTCCCGTTCATCAATGAGCTTTTTAAACCGGTCTGAAAGAGAAAAGACAGCGTTCAGTGCAGATCCGCTCGAGCAGCACATCGGGGAATGCATCTGATACACGTGACTGAACCGTTAAGGTTAGTGATCTACTGATGGAGGGAGTTAGGGCACGTACCACAGGACATGAGGCCCCAGACAGGGCTGCGAGGGGGCTGCAGCCAGGGGAGTTATGGCATTCTCACAGAACATGCTTGTCCCGGCAGTAGCAGCAGCCAGCTGCATGCAAAGAGGCTAATCTTCTACGTTAGGTTAGCATGCAAGAACTCTAGGGTCAAGCACAACTGCAACACAAAATCTCACAAATCTTGACAGTTTAACACAATGACAATACTGTAAACACCTAGAATCACAGCTAAGCACATTCTCAGCACTTTAACTCCTCCCTTCTTTTACAAGGCAGTGACATTTCATCTCCAATATATTACAACCAGAAAAACATTTGCCCATCAAATTATTTGTGTTTCGAATGCAGCAGTCTGGTAAAACTCTGTTTTSTCTTCACAGTCAATTCTCCTGGTCAAACATCAAGAGGCAATGGACAATCTGCACCAACTGTTGTGCTACACTTGGAAGTGCTACAGATCAGCAGCCTTTTATTTATTAAAGTGCCGGCTTCAATAATAAAGTGCACTCTGAAGAATGAGACAACTGGAAAAAAGAACTACAAAGTAAGCAACCAAATCACTTCATTTTTTTCCTTCCCCATTAAGGGTAGAAAAACGTGAAAGCATTTTAGCAGGTGCTCACACATTTTTGTATCACCCAGATTACCTCATTAATTAACAAGCTGAGTTTTTTCAGGTACACCTCAGGGAGGAGTACACAGGAACATCACGTTCAAACACACTCATTAGAAGAGGATCTRTTGACCTCAGCTGGGTCTCACTGCAGGTTTGTTCAGCTGGCCTCCCTTGCCAGCAGTGCAGAGCCCAACTGTTCAGAGCTCAACTCCACAGCTGAGGTCTGGCCTGCTGATTAAATGGTTAAAATCCAAAGGTCACTCAAGAAAAAGACCTTTATGCACACTTTAGGAAAGCAAGATAATTGATAAACATGGAAGAGCCTGGTGGGTTTTGACCAGCTAAATTCTGCTGATAGACAGACTTAAATATTTTTGAAAAGCTTTRAAAGTATCATTTCTTCTTTGCTGACAACTCCTGAACAGGCCAAAGTCTTGTGGTTCTCCCCTTTTTTTTTAACACATACAGTTAAAGGGAATTAAGAGTCTGTATTGTATCAAATCATGGGGAAAACTGTTTTTTCAATGGAAATCCTTCTACGCAGAAGACATGTAGAGTCCATTAATGTGGGATTAGAGTCCATTAATGTGGGATGTCATTCCCCTCCTGGGTATCACACTCTCATGTAATCCCATTACAGATCATAGAATAAAATCTTTACCTTGGCTTGTGATGTAATACCCAAATACAGATCTTAACATGACATCCCAGTTCAGCAGATCTATGGATTAATTTTGAACCTCCTGAAGTCCTATCTTTTTTTTAGTCCATTTGTAATACTCTCAACATTGTTACACCTGAGCACTGATATGGAAAAAACAAAAAAAAAAAACCAAAACCACATTTTTGTAAATACCACCCATAACCAAAATTAACAACTATAAACCTCTTCAAAACAATAAAACAATTTTTACAGATCTATATGGGAAGGAAAGAAGACAGAAATTCTGCAAAAGATATGGAAGAAAAATGAAGGTCAATGAAGAAAGCAAGAATGCAAACCTCACACAGGCTGGTGATACTTGGACTCAAGAGATTGCGTKGGGATTCACAGGTCAGCAAAGACCRAGAAATGAAATTCCAAGGACTGGAAGGAGAATGAGGACTGATGCAGCAGGAAACCTTTAGGCCACTACAAAATTAGCCCAAACTTATTGACTCCAAAGAGACCAAGCAACCCACTCTGATCCTGAAAATAATTTTGTTATGATGTCCATTTAACACAACCACTGCTGTGGGGTGAAACCTGCCTGCCTGAAGAAGGGACACTTATTCCAGTTTCCAGTAAGGAAGCACACTGGCTTCCCCAAATCCCTGTTCCTGCAAAAAGGATGCATTTTGGAATAAACCTTCAAGCAGGATCTCAGTTCTCTCTGCCCTCATYATGGACATCTGTGAACTGGGACATGCTAGCAGCAGCATTTACCAGATCAGGGAAGAAATTAGTTTGCTAAAATCGCCACTCATATAGAAAAGATTTCTGCCTGTAGAGAAGAGTGTCTCTTGGGTTTCACTTATCTTAAACCCCCACATTAACACAGAAAACTTACTCTACAGGGTCACCTTAATTCTGCATTTAGGAGACATTTTTCCAACAAATGAAGGATCTGAGGACCTTGAGGAAAGGTGAGCAGGAAAGAGCAATCTACTGAATCAGGACAGGAAGCAGCTAATTAAAATTCTAATTTGTAACAGTTATTATCCTTATTTCACACATAAAGATACTACAGTGAATAATTAGAGTGTGACATTCACCTCACTTAGCTTTGGAAACATGATTCCCAGGGGACTCACTGCACCAGTTCGTGGCTTTCAGATGCCAAGGAGTTTAACTGAGCACTGAGGAGCAGATGGGGCCTGTGAGGGAGCAGGACACACAGCGGTGAGGATGGCGCTGACTGCAATGTTGTGTCTTCTGCAGTGGTTTCTAAGTTCAGGCCTGTTTCTAAGTCCTCACTGCCTTGGCATTGCAGGTGACTCAGGTGCTACTTCAGAGGCACCAGACATTCCCAAATCAGTCACAGAACCTTCACGTCTCTTTCACTTGGAAGGGAGCACGGGAATGCAAAGCAGCTGTTTTTACCTGCATGATTTACGTGATGCATGGCCCAGCAAGTAATTAATCCTGATGTAAACAAAAGGGGTAAACTGCCCTTGGAGGATGGAAAGACATCCCATGAAATCCCTGCCCCAAGCAGATGCTCAGAACAGCTTGCAAGAATTGAACTGTCACAGCAGGTTGGACAATACTCCTTCTCCAGATCTGTCCATTTATTTTGGATCATGAGAAAACAGAAAATACTGATAAATACCTTCCTTTCTTTCTCAGAAGAGGGGTACTGCCAGGGACAGCACAGGATTTGGAAGAACCAGCTTGCAGTACTGATTTTGAGTGGGACAGGAAGACTATTCTTCTYTGTAGTGAAGGAAATATTGACCAAGACCTTGTCACTATTTCCCCCSCTCTTTTATCAGGCGAGTTTCTTCAGCTACTGCACTTCAGGCTAGCTCTGAATTCCGACATGCACAATCCTGGGATAYAGCATTTATGTGCCACTAGGTGATGACCAGAAAACCCGAGCATTTGGGGTTATTCTGAAAGTCTCATTCTTGCATCCCATACTAATTTTCAACATTCTAGGATGGATTTCTGGCACATCAGCTACTCTGCACTGCCTCTCCATATTCTTGCCCCGTGTTACACCAGGAGTGGGGTGAAAGCAGGTACATGGACAGGTTAAGATTGGAGTTGTTTCTGCTCCTGTAACTTGGCTTTGAAAAAAAATTCTCTTACAGATGCTTTGTCCTCTGAAGTGGAAAAACTAGTTGAAATCAGAAATTAACTTATAAGCAATACAGGATATAACAGCATGCACCTAATTTCACTCTGATAGATCCATCCACAATAGAGGTGAGGCCTGGTAAGAACATTTAATGATCTATTTAAGTCTATTTAACAAATAAAACTCACTTCCAAAATTAAACTATGTACTACTGTTGAGAGTATAGCAGAGCCAAATCTTTGAAGAAACACTGCTACATGCTAATAAGAAATGCTTATAAGAGCTATGACTTTTTGAATTAGCATTTAGGGTAAACCCTTAGGAACAACTRCCAATACTTACAGAAACCATGGTGGATCTGCTGTAAGTTGGAGAGAAGCCACATGAAAGGAGTTACAGGGTTACAGACCTGTTAGAGCTCTATAGTTAAGGTGCCATCACATATTCAAGGTGCTCAAACCCCGAGGCTGCCCAGTCCTAGGAAGATGGCTCTTGTAGCTACGTAGCACAAGGCAATAAACTGAACAAAAGCTGCAGAAAAATGGCGTTGAAATTATACAAGTTTAAATAACTACTTATGCAGGTTTAGAAACAGTGCTCTGGACAGGTACTTTAAAGTATAAAATATGTTTATTTATATTTATTTTTATATACAGCAGTAGATTTTGATATACATCTTCAAATTTTGCTTTCTGTCTGTGCTCCGAAAACTTTGTAACATCAACACAAATACAGCCTTCCATAGCCCACACCCTCCCTCGATTTGCATTCCCATGGGACATTCAATGCTTAACACTTTAAATGAATATTTATATATGCAAAACATGCTCTTCCTCCCAAGCACTAGCAGAGATGCAAGAAGAAATACAGCAAGGGAGTCCAAGAGCCTAATTTATGCCAGCAATTCAAAGCAATCCAGCTTTTCCAAAAGGCACAGGGGGCTAGTACACAAAACAACAGTTCTTTGGTCTGATATCCAGCAAGAGTTAAGACATGCAAAGTTATCTTCTTTCCAGAAGAGAAGAGGTAAGATTTGTTTCAGAGATAAAAACATTCTTTCAGGATCAGTGTTTGCAAAAAAAAAAAAAAATACAATGCAATAAGCAAATGCAATTTTAAACAAAAATCTTCTTGGAAAAATAGATATATATTTGTATCTAGACAGTACTTGATAACAAACCTAAACACACATTACAGTGTGTATTGACACTTTCTCTGGAAAACATAAAAACCCCATGTGAAACATGGTGCAAAAGGCCTACTGTGGTGCAAAGTGCCTAGATGAAGTAAACATGTATATATTTATTCCTTTCAGCAAACTAAGACCTGTATGTTGCACTTTCTCCAAACTTTATATTGCTCTTCCAAAGTGCTCAGACTAAGAAGATTCACAATGATCTACCTATATTTTGGAATATGACCATATTAGAAATACACACAAAGTGGAATGAAAATATGTGCTCTTTCTTTCTATTAAAAAAAAAAGATTGTTTCATAGGCTTTAATCATTCTGAAAGAARTTTCACCACCAGTGTGGCTGATCTGCTGAGTTCCTTCATGAAGTGTTAATGTGCTTGCTGTAGATCTAAGTACAAGTAAGCATAATGTGCATAAGTTCACGAAGGCCCAATGTACATTCAAGACATTGATCAACTAGCCTAGAATAAAAAAAATCCTATAGAAATTCCTCAGGAGCAGCTATCCACACTAGAGGTACCTTAATTGCATAATAGTTTGAATATTTGTCAATTTGTGAATCTTCCTCATTAGGTGATAAGCTTTCAACCTGAGACACAGCAAAATCCAGCCCACTCATGATTTCTTGTGGCTGGGTCCGACAGTGAATAGCAATACTTGCATCATTACCACGCACGTGCTTTATGCTGAGTTACCTACAAAGACAAAGCTCTAAGAGTATTCCAARGTTTGATGTCTTGTGCAAAGTGCATGTTTGTGTCCTGGGACTGGTCACAGGACATGGAACTCACGTAGGTTTGAGATTCTGAACTCAGGAGATTGTACAGTCATCTCTGGATCTACCCTTACTCCTTCTACTACCCTGCAAATCCTCCCTGCTTTCAGCCCTCTTAATGAAAGCACTTTCCAAACACTGTTCCAAAACATCTTGTTCCTGTAATTTTTCCCCTTTACTAGAACCTGATACTTTGATTTCATCTTTTTCCACATCAGCCTTCTCATCACTTTTCCCCGACGCTTCCCCTTGCAAGTGCCCCATTTCTTCAGGCTCATCTTTTTGATGCTGCAAGACTTCAATTTTGGTCAAGGCATCTTTGGTTTCCATTTTGTCTGTTCCCTCGCCAGCTTTGTCTGTGGGGRCAGTTTTTCGAACAGCACCTTTTGTTCCATCACCCTCTTCTCCCTGTGCATCAGCTTTCTCTCCATCATGTTTTTCATCAGTTTCTAGTATTTGATTTGACTCTTCATCAAAATCAAATGCATCACCATCATCTTCCAGGCTTTCCTCTGCTTGACTCTCCAATTTGACTTGTTCAATAAGGCTGTCATCCTGCACAGGCTCCTGTGCCAGGGTGTAATTTGCACCTTCTTCTAATTTCACTTGTTCACTAACATTGTCATTCTGCATAGGCTTCTGTGATATGGAATTATCTGCATTTACTTCCAATTGAACTTGTTCACTAACATTGTCATCCTGCACAGGCTTCTGTGACAGGGAATTATCTGCACTTTCTTCCAACTGAACTTGTTCACTAATGTTTTCATCCTGCACAGGCTTCTGTGCCAGAGATTTATTTGCACCTTCCTCCAATTTAACTTGTTCACTAATGTCATCCTGCATAGGTTTCTGTGACAGGACCTTATTTGTACCTTCTTCCAATTCAACTTGTTCACTGAAGTTGTCATCCTGCACAAGCATCTGTGACAGGGCAGTATTTGCACCTTCCTCAGATGCAAATTCCCCATCAGGGTGGTCTGCAAGCTCTAACTCTTGCTCATTTTCTTTCAGTGTTTCTTTACTGGCTTTGTTTTCAGTAGTTACAGTAACACCTACATCTGACTCCTCTTTAGATTCACCTTTCACTTGTCGAACCACCTTCTGCACTTCACCTTCTAAAGGAACATTTTTCTCTCCTTCTGTACCACCTGCTGTTTTTTCACTACACTGACTCGTTTGAACTTCTACCTGTGGATTCAAATCTTCTACCCATTCTGTCCTACTTTCCTTCCCTTCCCCAGCCTCAGGCCCTGTTTCAAACTCTGACTCCTCAATTTTATCATCTAATAGACACGGTTCTAATTGGGTTTCCTGAGTGGTCACCTCTCTCACAACCTCCGTGCCTGGCTGTGCCTGCTGCAGCTCACTTCCCTTTGCCTCGGGAATGCAGCCTCCTGCCTCTACAGATGCCGTATCTTGCTCGCCTGTTTCAGCMGAACCTGAACACTTCTCCAGCTCTTCCATCAGTTCTTCCTTCTGTCCATCCTTCTCAGCTGTAGCAGTTTCATGTTCAATTTTATCTTCTGTACTTGGTTCCTCTGATGATGCTGAAGGATGGTCCTCTGCAGAAGCTGGTTGGGTGAATGCCTGATGTCCTCCACCTTCCTTTTCAAGTGACTCTGCTGGGACATCCCTTTCATGTGACTCTGTCCCCTCCAAACCCACAGACTCAGTTTCCCTCACCTGACCCTGAACTTGGTGCCCAACCTCATCTTCTTTTTCAGCTCTGTCACCTGCTGTTTTATCACTTCTTCCATCGGTGCATGCAACAAACTTATCCTCTAAGGCATTTATAACCTTGTTTTCAGCACTTTCTTTTGAGTGCTCGGGTTCCTCTGGAGCGGAATTCTCCACATTTCCCTCTTCACTAAGCAAGCCTGTCCCTGCACCCTCAGGTAGCCCTGCCTGGTTAGAATCCAACTCACTGCTCTCACTTGCACTGTCAGATTCTTCATCCATTTCATTATCATTCAAGGCAGGGCCAGTTTTAAGATCCTCTTGTTCTTTCTGTTTGGGTGCAGCTTCTCCCTGCTCCTGCTCTGTACCTAAGTAACAAAGCGTTTCCTGAGGAGTCTCAAGAATCTGGTGGCCTTGCAGAGAGCCCAGCTCTGAGTTCTCATTTGTCCTTACACTCAAGTCATGGTGTTCAGCCTCTGTACTCTCAGGCTGCTGGACTGCTGTGCCCATGAACTCTGTGACCTTTCTCRGGCCATCTGTGTCATTATCACTGTTGGAAGAAGTGCTCCCTGACACAGGTTCTGTGAGGCTCTGAGCTTGCTCTGCAAACCTACTCTCYGGTACCATCACTGCTGGCAGGGTGTCCCGTTCTTCAACCATTTGTTCTGCCTTTGCATTTTCAGGAGCATGCAATGTCTGTACTTCCTCCTCCTCAGACTCCTCTTTGTGTTCCTCATGCTCAGTATTCTGCAAGATTTTTCTTTTCCCCACAKCCTCCAAAATCTCATTTTTCATCTCCACTTCATTGGTTTTGCCTAAAAGACCATTGAGAAAGTTGAGGGGGCCACACCACAGCACTTACCTCCCCACTTAAAACCCGAAAGACAGAATGAGTCAAAGAACAGGTTAATAAAAGACCAGCTTTTGCCAATTATGTGAGGCAAAGCRGCGATTGAATTAGTAAGGATCCAGGGGATTTGATCAGTGAAACTCACCACCACCCTTTCAAAGCAAGAAGTCTCTGGTGCTGGCTCATGTTTTTGTAAAGGAGATGATTTATGCTCTTGGCTGTGGCAATGACAGCTTTCATACAGAACAGCTATTTGAAGCAGTGCAATTTAACAGCAATACTTGCAGATGTATTTCTAAAGACTCTTTTTTCCCCAGTAATATCCTCCACAACTTTAACCCTGACACCCCTCTATTCATGTAGGAGTCTGATGCCATTACAATGTAATCATGAAGGATTATTCAGTGATAATTTTGCTTTTAAAATCTCAAACAGCATCATCAGTGCACATGACAGACACTGAATGTAAAATCTGATTGGCAAGCAAATGGTTTGGCTGTTCAGACATCCCAGCACAGATCAAAACCCAGGTAATCTGTGCCCATTGTTTCAGTGGGGACTTCTGTGKTTTTTTAAAGGTTATTTTTATTGTATCAGTTTTCCTTCATTTTTTATTTAGAAGCAACAGATATTACAACAATAGTGCTTGTGGTTAGTTAATTTTTGGTCTATGCTGTAACTATTCTGAAAAAAAACCCCAGAATTAGTAGATATAGAAAACATATTACATTTAAAAACACACCCTTACCTTGATTTTTGGTGTTCCACATTGTTTCCACACAGAAACTGAGTGAGAAAAAAGCAGCCAAAAGCTCAAAGCAAGAGAACCTGCACTTGCAACAACTGGCTGCCTGCTGCAATTTATTAGCATGTTCATTTAGAACAAGAAAAAATCCAACAAACCAAAAATATTACTTCCTTTCCTTATACTAGTACAATGGTTCTCTAAATGGCCATTCACCACATAAAAACGTAAGTAGGTTTGCCAACCAGATTTCTCCTTCCTAATGCTACCCATATCAATAATATTCTTTGAGTATTAATGTTACAAGTAAAAATGCAGAAAGTGTTAATTTTGACTGTTCAATAGCACAGGATACCAGGAACAAAGAATTTATCCTTCGGTGTGCTTTGGCAGAGCCCAGCACTGTTGTTCAAGCAGACACAGTTCTCAGARTGAACCAAGGTACAAGTTCTTTATAGAAAACCAAAATGCCTTTTTTCCCTGATTATTCAGCACATAGCTTAATGTGCTGAAAAATGCTGAGCAACAATAGGCTTATCCTGGGACAATTTTCCAATTCAGGGTTTAAATGATGATGTGAATGACTGCTTCTGATCTGTAATGTCCTACTTGTATTCCCATCCTTTGTCACCTTGACTGGGAAGTGAAGTCTGCTCTGGAGGAAACTGCACGACACACTGGGAGTGACAATCAACATGAAGCAGGAAAATGCACAGGTGGTGATTCGACAAGGAGCATGCTGCATGGTGTGTTAATTGTCCCACTAACAATTGCCCCAATCCAAGCAAAGGTGGATGAATGAAGGACAGACAGGCAGGAGGGGCTGAAAGGACACACAGCACTTACCTAGCATCCCCTCCCCTCCTGTCTTTAATGCCTGAGTTGTGCCTGGAACAGTTCGGGAAGAATCCAAGTGTCCTTCRTTATCCAGAATGTCTGATGTCTCCCCATTGGTGGCTACATCAGAGTCTGGGATTATTCCATGTTTCTGTGGGAAGCAAAAGCAATGCTTTAGAGCCTGCTGCTTGCAAGGGGAAGGACTGTCAAGTGCTTTTGTCCATGATRCTCTGAATAAACAATTGCTTCAATCATTCCATTAAACATGGCTGGAAGTCAGGAAGCAGAACAGATACTGCAGTTCTCAGTTCAGCCATTCTGACAGAAAGCATGTGATCCCAGCTCTTTTCTCTTTTTTTTTTTTTTTTCTTAAACATAAATCTGCTGCCTAAGATATTCTTTAAAGAAGTGTCTCCTACAAAAACAACTTCTTAATACTCCAGTCTACACTAAGAACTTACAATCAATAGTAGGGGAAAGGACTTTATGCAGAAAATTCCTGAAATGGCAATTTAAAGGCAACATCAAAATCRAGTTATTGCTACTGAGCTAGACTTAATTCTTCTGCCAAAATGTAMAGGGAAGAGGGTCAGCAGATGAATATAAATTTCTTTTATTCCTCTTGCATACCTTCAGTTGCTCCTTCAGCACAACCACTTCGTCTCTAAGGTCATCCCGCTCACTCCTTATGGAATCAAAGAAATCTTTCTGCCTCTCTAGTGCCTGAGTTACCAACACAGACAGAGGGCGAGGAGATGTGAAGAAAGGAAGGGAGACAAGTAAAGGCCATGAAAAGCAAATGTAGACAAGAATGAGCAGATTTAAGATATTCAGAGTTGGATGGAAGGGGTACAGAGGAAAAAGGTCGAGTTTACAGATTAAAGGACTGAGTTTGCATACAGAGAGAGAGAAACTTCAAATCCAAGAAAAGCACAGTTTATTCAATAACCAAGAATTCCTGCCAAAGACATTCYGAGCCAAATTCTTTACTAGGGATCCTTCAAATGAAGGTCCACTTTTTATTTTTATCTGCTAGACAAGCTCATCCATATCCACATTGCTTTAGCATGTACACTGAAGACATSATGCCATTCCCATATGTTAACAGAAGGGCATGGAAGTAGGCCCACGGATTTCAGGAGCCTTTTTATTTTACATTTTAATTAATTTGAAAGCTGCCTTTAAGTTATCCTTAGTCTGGGATGCACCATGTGCAAATACATATTTTGGTACTGAACTCCCCTCTCCCTGTATTTCTATGTAAGTACAAATAGAACAATTAAAAAAAAAAATAAGGCAATTTTAATTTCAGGCTGCTACAAATTAATGGATATCACAAACATGGGCAAGCTGCCAGATTTCCTTCTCCTACTATATTCAGGAAGCCTTTCASTGTTCAGCTGGAAAAGAAAACTAGAGTGGGTTTCCCTGTGGCTTTGATAAGAGGTGGTGGGAAGGGATGAGAAGCAAGGGAGACTTTCATCCCACCAACCTATAAATAGCTCTATTACCTCTTTATCCCACTCCAGTTTCTGCTCAGTCCGCAGATTAAATGTGAATAAGYGAAAATTCGGTGCTGATGGAATTGCATTATAAATAGCACTTCCTTTCTCCATATGGCAAATGCACATGGTGCAGCACAGCAAATCAATGACCCTTGGTTTGAGATCAGACCAGCTGCTAGATTTTCCTTGGATTTTAAAGTACTGGCCAGAGATAAAACTTGCTATTTGCTAATTCACTGGACAGCCACACCAAGCAAAGGCACTAAGGAGGGTTTATCCATGGGGTTTTACAAAAGCAGGGTCAGGTGGAGGATGACAGTGCCACTTTGAACACACTTCAGGAGTTGACAAGTCCTACCCCTATTTTTTTGTCTTTCCACTCTATTGTCTCCTGGAGATCGGAAATTTCCCTGACATAGCTCTGCTGTTTCTGTTGCAGCTGTTGGATTTCCTGAGGGGCAGGAGCAAAACAAGAAGACAGAAAGCAGGTAACAGGTTAACAAGGAAGGTCAAGATTGCAGTGATGCCAAAGAATGAATAAAGTCAGGTGCTAAAGTAAATATGTATCAAAAATGCACAGTTTCGGATGTCTCAGTTGAACCTATGCTCCTGAGGACAATCTTAATATTCACAACACGATTTAAAACAAGTTCTACAGTTCTGATATTGTCCTCTGTATCTCTGTGAACAGCTGTCCAAAATTGAATACTTAGAAGGTAATACTTRAGAAAGTACTATTTCCCTCAGTCAGCTCTGAACCTGTTTGGCCTGAAACACTATTTCTTCTGGTGAGAAACTTAAATAGGGAATAAAATTCTCCATGCCTTACATTCTCCACTCTACTGCTAGCTAGGAATGTACCAATCAAAGAAGCCATTAAAAGAAAAAAAMCAAACTACTTACTGCAAGCATTTCTTCTCTCTGCTTCAAAGCCTCTTTGATTTCCATGAATTGAAACTGCAATATGCTATGAGCATGCTTCTCCCTCTCAAATTCCTGTGAATATTGAAATATTCACAAGATTATTATTAATCAAAAATAGCATCCYATCAAAAAAGGGGGGAAATCAGCTCAAACACAAAGAAAATGCTTACTGCCAWGTAATTCTTGAATATCCCTCTAATCACAATCCCACAAGAGTACAATTTTTATCAAGTTTGTCCTGTTTCCAAGATGCTATTATTGCACCAAATATAGAAGTGACAGCCATCATTTAGCCYATTTCATAAGCTGAGCAGCAGGCTGGAGTGAAGAGCTTTTACACTCCAGTCCTACAGACTGCACAGATAAATGGATGGGAATTTAACCCACTCTTCCCACATGGTCACATACCAAAAGTTAGCTGACTTTTAAACAAAAATACAAAATCATACTGCATCTTTCAGGAATTGTGTTTTGAAGTGGGGTGTCATCAAATGCCCCCCAAGATACAAGAAGGCAGTTCTGAAAAACTAACCTAAGCCCCAGTTGTATTATTTAATACCAAATCACTAACTCAATTCATACAAAATTTAATTCAACATTTAACCATGGAGCTGCCTGAACTATCAGAACAGTGCAACTCTCTCACAGGCTGCTGGAAACACCTTTGTATGTAAAACTGCTCCAGAAGTCCCATGGAAAAATCCTACAAATTTACTTTAGAGATGGAATGTAAAAGGAGATGTGATAATACCAATATATCKAAGTATCAAAATAGCCTTTACCAGGTAGAAAATTTCTCCCTTTCTTCAGAAATTGCTTAGGGAAAATCCATCTTTGTATGATCACAAATACACAATAAGCTTCTWTTCCACTTGCCATAATAGTAATTAAAGCAGCAACTTGGTTCAAAATCTTCAATAATAATTTAGCTGCCTCCTCCCAAAGATCTCTACCCCCCTCCAAATCTCTCCCATGCCAGAGCTCCATACATACCTTACTTTTTTCTTCATATTGCCTCCTGGATTCTGCCAGCTGTTCCTCTAACTCTAAGAGCGCATCCTTCAGGGTGTCCACTTGGTACATGAAATTGGTTTTCTCATTGTCCAGTTGAGCATTTGACACCATAGCCTTCTTGTATTTCTCCTCAACTTCAGCTAGAGAGTCCTGCAGAGAACAAGCAACCCCAGTCAGAGTCAGAAATAAAGGACACTTTGCCAACCAAGACCTTCAGTGAGAAAATGAAGCACCAAACCACAAGCACGCYACGTCTGCTACAGAAACCAGCTTTAATCCTGTGCTGGAGGATTCCCAGCTATCCCAAGATGAGGAAAACCTCCCCTGTTCCCACYTYYAAGCAAGCAGCCTTACCTCAGCACGGATAAAATGCTTCCTGTTCTCTGCTGCTTCAGCTTCTGCCTTCCCGGTTTTCTTCCTTCTCCCTCCTCCCCCTGCCCCTGCACRCTGGCAGCTCAAAGCAGCTGCTGAAGATGACAAGTTGGGATTTTTTTTTTAAAGGTAAACTGACCTTGATTTAAGACCACTTTGGATGACCTGAGGCCTGAAATTAAGGCAGTTTGACAGTCACTTCACACTAATTTCAGGGATCCTTGCTGTGTGGGAACCCTTCAATACACTGACTCAGGGATTAGAATTCACTGTGAGAGAGAGCTGCAGCTTTTGTGACCTGATGTTTGATTTCCCATTAAGTTTCCTATGTGACATCCCTTCTTTACAAATCTACCCTYTAAGACACAATCCCCACTACCTTGAAAACCCCTGCTATCAGCCTGACCTGAGTACAAGATACCAAGGTAATTACAACAAYAAATGATGGCAAAATAAAGAGAAGCACAGTTTTTCATTTATGCAGACAACTTTGCATTACTTGATTTTAGTACTGAAATAAAAGAGTTATATAAACAAAGCAGTGTAAACGTGCAAACAAGGAGGACACACATGTCAACGTTTTAGTTTACAGATCAAACAATTTCTCTTGGAGCTCGTGTAATTTTAATAATTTCAACTGAAGTAYGGGTGAGGTTCATATACTTCCTTTTTCAGCCAACAAAAAGAACTAAGGATGGTAGAGGCAATGTCTAAATCAGTTTAATTGACATTTCTATTAACGAATTCGATGATTTGTCTTTGAGGACGTGAATTTGTACAGTTCCAAATGCTTAACTGTGTTTTGGTGGACTCTCCAGCCCCAGATGAGAAATACCAAGCATGGGAAAAGCCAGCAGGATTTGGAAAGCTCAGAAATTTGCTGGAAAGGAAGTATATGCAAGGAAGAAGTCAGGGAAGTTGCTGCTCCACTCCTTCTGCATGCCATGGTTTCTTAGTATCAAACAGTGCAGCTTAGGTACAGATCACCCCAAAAGGCAGCCTAAAGGACATGGATTAAAAAATTACCGACATTTTTTTATGCACTGTGATTATTTTGCCCATCTGCTACCCAGTGACCCAGAAAAAAACCAAATTTTACCAGAAAAGGGCCTAACTACTCTGCTTCCATTGAAAACTCACTTAAGATGGCAACACCTCCATCTGTCACAGCACTGARCTGATGGCACAATCAGCTGTTAATGATGGCAAATATTGCATTTATCTATTTGCCTCTGCCAAAAWGCCACAGCTCATGTCGCTGCTCACTTGTGAGGTGGGAGGTACATGGATGTACAAGTAGGTTGTTGCACCAAAATGTATTTATGGCTTCAAGGAAGTTCTAAGAGCTTCAGCATTCACTCTTCATGTAAAATGCTTTGTTACATAGAGTTTTGTTACAAGAATTATTTCAGGGTGCATTCTGCCATCTAAAGATGAAATCAAAATGACACCTCACATGACCTTAATAAAAATACAAACATACAAGCTTCTCAACTCATATTTTTAAKACTACTGCAGGAAATGAGTTCTAGCTTGTTTTCCAATATTGGAAGGTCTCTTGGATTATGAAACAATTTAAAAAAACGCAGACAATTTAAATTTGTTAGCAAAATGAAGACTACCTCAAACCAGCAAAGACAACGTGCAGTAGCAACCGGTAGCCTCACAGTGAACACTTGGAAGCATTCCTCACCACAACCAACCCAGGTCAGAGCAGACACTTTTCCAGTTAATGAGACACTCTGCACACAGCTCCCAGCCTCTCCAGGAGAACAGCATGCAAGGGCAGCTCTGGGGCTCACACTGGGRCCAGGGTTAATGCTCACACATCGGTACCTTCAGTTCTTTCAGCCCCTGCATGTATCTGCCTTCTACATCCTGAATCTGGTCCTTTAACTCATAGATGTCCTGAGGGAGATGGTGAGAGAGGTCAGCGACAGCACGGACACTAACGGGCAGAACGCAGCAGGGAGGGATAAGCAGTGCTTGGAGAGCTCCTTCCAACACCTCACCCACCCAGGTGAAGGGCCCTGATCCCAGTCTGAGGCCTTGGCACACAACCAGAGTTCTTGGGTAAGAGTTTGTGCTAATTCAGCTTCTCTCAGCTGGAAAAAACAGAATCTTGAGACTTAAGKATAAGAGCCAGGTTTAAAGGCTCCAAGAACCTCACTCCAGCTTTTCTCAGTCCCTTTGACTGGTGAGCACCCTCTGTCACAGCCTCTCTCCTGTTATCTCCACYCTCCTATCACTCCCTATTTCAGGATGGGAGTTGTCCTTTACAGCCACTGTCCCATCTGGGAGATGTCTCCAGCTAAGCTGTTCACTTCTCAATCGCAGCAGCTGATGCACTGCCACAAGTGCCAGCTTCTTCCTGGGAAAGGAGCCTGAAGGATATGCCATCATTTACTCTGGRTTCAAGTATTTCTCACCTTGATCTCCCTGATGGATGCTTCTGTGTCAGCTGAGATGGACGTGTCCCCACTGCCTCTCCGTGATGAAGTCCCGCCCAGAGAAGCCAAGGTAGCTGCTGATAAACTTGAGACAGTTCGTGCTCCCTACAATCACACACACACAAACCYGCTTAGAACTTCCTTTTCCATTTGAATTAAGGGGTTTGTAGCTTTCCTCTTTTTTTTTTTTCTTTTTAATACACACAACACAACAATCCTCTCACTTCCAAGTTACGCAGTTCTGATTAAAATCAAACTTTCTAAGAAGTAAAAAATCAAAATCAAGATTTCACAAGGGAAACTAATGAGAAAAGGCAGATCAGAAGTATTTAAATAATATTGCAATAGGAGATCACATAATTTAGCTTCTAACTATTAATTCTTAATTGGACAAAGCCTTTAGGGGCTGRTATCAGCCTGCCAGACATTTTCAAAATTTGTAGTAGTACATTTGTGGAAGCTTTGGAAATTCCTTTATGGATATTCGTTTACTCTGCAACAGTGGCCACGTGAACTGTTCTGTGTACTCAGGGTTAATGTAGCAGCCTGCTCTTTTATTACGATGATTTATTTATTTTTACACAAATAACTTAGATGTTATAACTAAGTTCTAATAAACACACTCGGTATTTGGGCAGCTTAGCCTAAAGCACACTCAGCCAACTGCTGCTGAAGGTCAGCTACTTAACATTGAGTCAGCAGGGGCTGAAAAGTTCATCTTCAAAAATGCTGTAGCCMAAGGCTCCAGAAATTCAAATTTTTGCCCCAAAATGGATTTGATAAGAGATTTCTGTACACTCATGGCAAGCTCTACCTTCTAAAAAAAATTAAGAAAGTATTATTGTCAGCATAATTGATAAGATCCTTCTTACCTTCTCAAAGTCTTTTTCTGGCCTTTCCTCAATCTGTGAAAGAGATACGGAGAAAGAATCATTAATATAATCAATGTTATAAGGAAAAGCAATAATATACCAGAAACGCCACCACATTCTCCCCATCCCAAAAAGCAAGGTACCAAGTTAGACTTGAAATCTAAAGCTTCAAACCTGTGGCAAATATTCTCCACTCAAGACAAACAGGGACTGCRACTTCAAGCAAAGATCCAAGATACAAAACTTCTCCTCAAGTCAAATATCAGGCATCAGTCCAAAGTCTAAATAAATGGCTCTTTTAGAGCTTCAGTATTTCACTGCAATTTACTAATTTAKAAGACAGATCCTGCACTAAAACTAGTCTAGAAGAAACAAAAGAGTGAGAAAGGAGCATTGAGGAGTACCAGAAATTACCATGGATACAGACAACTTAAAGATTTAAAAGTTACAGAACATCTCCATCTAAAATGGAACTAAGTGCAAAAAGGACTGAATGAAATGAAAAACTCAGCAGAACTCAACAAGTCCTGCATTCTTCTTGGAATATTCAGCACAGTCAAGATGGTTTCCCAAAAGRCTCCTAGAAAATTGATGTCTTTCCCAGATCAAGAAGAGCCTCATTGCCAAAGGGAATAGMGTTTTTTGAAATGACTGGAAAAACAATCAGAATAGACCTGATTCAGTGAAAGGCAGGGGATAATTGAGGTTAAACTGATAACTTCCATTGAAAACACACTCAAAACCTACATCTTTTTCCAACCAGTTCACATTTGCCACAGTTGAGTTTTTTTTCTTTGAATTATATAGAATAATACGGGAATGATTCCACTCATTATTCTTCATATTACCTATGGTACCCTATTTAAAAAAATTATCCCAGGACTGAGAGGTGCCTGTTATGAATCAGATTTTTACACTGACATCTCACAGTATAAATTCCCTATGCATCACATYAAGGAAATTTAAGTCTGAGGCTTTGAAGTAAAATAAGCCAGACTTAATTAAAGGACTAGATCTAAACTTTGCAAARACGCTGAATACACAAAATATTGAGGAAAAAGCCCTCAAATCTCTGAATCTGGAGGCAATAAGAGCAGGTCATTAATGAAGGCAGATACTTCAGCTCAGACCAAATGAACAAGATGGACTGCATTGTGCAAACAGCTTTTTATTTTCATGCCAGACAGCTCCAAGTGCTGGATTTGGCAGCCTTCTAGCCTGGCCGAACAGTGTGTTGTTGTTTATCAAGACAGCTGTGGCAGTGTCAATACTGGCATGTGACAAAAGATCAGTGTGTACACACACATCTACCTCTGCAAATTTATGTGCAGCCTTTGCAAAATCTTCTTTACAGGCTCAGGGCACAACTCAAAATATTTATTTTCCTTCAGCCATTTGCACAATGGCCTCTATTTTCTGAAACAAAGTTCAATCCCAGTTTTTAGCAAAATAAAGAAGGGAGTAAATATTGGTATTATTGTAATGATGCATCCCACGAGTCAAATAAAAGCTTCCATTTACAAAGGGGAATGTTGAAGACGAGGTGGTGAGTGATATGACTACACTGAGTATTTCTACTCAGAGCATTCATAACCACACCTGTGAAGCCTGCTACACCTTTATTGCAAAACTACTTTAAATAATAGCTGTAATGGGGCCCAATCTTTAATAAGGAAAGCTATTAAATAACATCTAATATTGTGGTGGTTAAGAAAACAAACCAGATTTCATTGTCATAAGTGATGCCCTTGCTCACCCATTTGGTGCCATCAATGCCACTCAGAGCAGTGTCTCCTCAAACCCAGTAACTATCCCTACCAATTTATTTAACCAACACTTAAAAATTCAATTTATTTGGGAAAAGCTAGTTCTTCATTCCAGAATAATATCCTTATACTACATAGATGCTTCCTGCTACACAACACTTTTCTTAGCAAAAAGTCTGTCTGAAACAAGCAGCATTTTATGGTTACATGGCAGCAATACACCAAAATCTATCTTGTAGAAAGAGAGAAGCTTATTTTAAATTAATATTTTATACAGATTTCATCCAGCTAATGTTTGGATTAATGTATTCACAGGATCACTCCTTTAAAAAGATAAACTTTTCCTGAAGCAGTCAGCCACCAGAGGGAACTCCAGGTTCCCAGCCTTCCCTCAGTCCCCCACAAGCCCTCTGGCAGTTGATTCAGCAAGAAATGAAGCAGAGAAAGGTCAGGAGAGAATTATTTATTTTTATTTGAAGTTGTACAGAATTCTTGCTGAAAACACTTACCTTCTGTATTAGTATTCAATCAAGAATGCTGCAATTGATAAACAGACTGGAAGTAACTTCACATTCACAATACTCAGCACAGCCCTTCATAAAACTACCCTGCTTTGGGGACTTTTCCAGACACAAATATAAAGGGTTGACAGAATACTTGCCAGAAAGGGAGATTTAAAGAGGGATTCACTTAATTGCACCTTTAATTTACCCTCCCGTTTTTCATTTGCACAAGGGTRTGGGTATGTCTCTAATCAGATTATCTTCCTCTTCACCAACGATTTGTACTTTAGTGCGTAAAAAAGCAGGAAAAGGAAGTAATTTTCCGAGGAACTCCAGCACGCACATTCTTTGTTTTGGCTGCTCCCTGCAAAATAAGCGCAGTGGGATCAGAGTTCAGCCTCTTCTGACAGCAATTTCGGAATAAATCCAGAGCCACATTACAAAAATGTCAGCAACATCAGAGCTCACCACAGCTGGAAACACAACAGGAGCAAAATCACCCCACAAGCCTTTATATGGATAAAGTGCCTATTTTCCATAGATTAGAAGGGTTTTAACCCTTGAAGCTCTCTGCCACSAGTCCAGGCCAAAATGAGTCCCCAGAGCACTTCCACAGAGCATCCAACCAAACCAACACCTACTGCAAGTAAAGGGATCTTAGAATCAATGAAAGAACCAGGACTGTGGCAGAGTTTACAGGTTCCACACTCCTAAACAAGGCCAGAGAAGGGAAACCTGGAACTCTTCTGTCTATGCCATGTCCCACGCTCAGGTATCAGAACAACCCTCAGTGGCTGTCACTGCTCAGCTCCAGCTCAGATCTTGCACTCARCTCAACTTCCTCATGAAAGCAAGGGGGATTTTTGGTGACAAATCAAATTAAGATAATTTCCTGCCCTTAGAAGCAGCACAGCACAGCTTGAAATGGAAATACGGCCCACAGCAGAGAAAAATGGTTATGAGAGGTAGAGCTGAACACAGGACGGTATCTACACAATCTGGAGTTAAGAAGAAAAGAGGTACTGCAGTCAGTACAATCCCTCCTACAACCCCCATCTTACCCGTTTGATCAGCTGAGCTGGGGCAGGCTGCAACTGAGAGTTCCGGCTGTTTTTCCAACAAGAGCCACCTTAACTCCAGCAATTAGCAACAAGCCGTTCAAAGTCAGCAGGGGAAAACCACTGCTGAAATCTGTCAGGTCTGAAGAGAGTTTGTGAGAAGAATCCTCTCTCAGGAATGAGTGCTATGCCAAACGTCACTGCTTAAACAAACTTATCAGTCCCAGAAATACAAGTTAGCACTGCTGCAAATCCTCACTCCAGAGGGGCCCAAAGCACATCCAKACTGTCAGAGGCAGGGCTAGGATGCAACCTACCCTAAATCTTCAGACAGAGAGAAGGTGAAGCTTCATAACTGTCTCTATCAAAATTATGTCTGTCAGTGTCCTCGTTTTMTTTCTGGTGAGAACATGATAAGCTTTTTCCAGTGATCAAAGCTGCTCACAGCTGGGCACTGATGCATCCCGAGCACTGTATGTATGACCTGAATGCACGGATACACTGGGGAACGAGAGSCTGGAGACAGCAGGGACCTGGGGGTCTGGGCTGGATTTGAGTCAGCAGTGCCCTGAGCCAGGAGGGACATCCCTGTCCTGGGGGATCAGACCCAGCACGGCCACCCAGGCCAGGCAGGGATTGTCCTGYTCTACTCTGGGCTGGGGCARCCTCACCTYGAGTGCTGGGGGTAGCTGSGTGCCACAATATAAAAAGGATATAAAGCTAAGATTGTCCAAAGGAGGAACACAAAGATGGGGAAGGGTCTGGAGGGGCCTCATGAGGAGCAGCCRAGGGCACTGGGTTTGTTCAGCTGGAGCAGACTAGCCTGAGGGCAAAGCTCATCATGGCCTRCATCTTCCTCCCTCCTCAGGGGYAGCTCCAATCTCTGCTCTCSGTGACARGGACAKGACCCAGGGAATGGCTGGAGCTGGGTCAGGGTAGGTTTASGGTGGATTTTGGGAAAGGTTCKTCTGTCCCCAGAGGGTGCTGGGCACTGCCCAGGCTCCCCAGGGAATGGGCACAGCCCCAGAGCTCCAGGAGCGTTTGGACAGCGCTGCCAGGGATGCACAGGGGGGATTGTTGGGGGGTCTGGGCAGGGACAGGAGCTGGATCCATGATCCCTGTGGGTCCCTTCCTGCTCAGGATATTCTACATCTCTACACATACTCAAGCTGAACTCTGGCTGCTCGTGTTGCTGCCTGAGCCTCCCCAAGAAGGGAGAGAGCCAGGATTAACCATCATCTTCTCAGGGTAACAAAACATACCCTCTCCTCTTGTTTGCCTGCCTGGCCTTAGGAAGCCTTCAGACAAATACCACTGCGTTCTGTTTCAGATTTATAAATAGTTGTTTTTCATTAGTAGCTTCCTAATTTAAAAAAGAAAACCAACAAAATTCCTGAAATTCATATTAAAAGTCCATCTGAGCCAAAACATGCAGAACGCTCAGGCACAAGRTTTACCCCCATCTGTACAGAAATATTTGATGTTTGCTCTCAGTAGAGTCTTAAGATCTGTATTTCATGTGAGGATGATTTAATATTAAACAGAATATTTGCATATCTGCAGTAACTGCAAGAGCAGCAGATAATTACCAATGGGGATAACACGAAAAATGTTAAAGAAAAACAAACAGCAAACTTCATTCAGATATTRTGAATTCTTAAAATAACTACAAAGGCAAATATTCACACATTGTGTTTAAGCATCTTCCTGCCTTTGACTGTATTACCAACATGGTAACACAAATGAGAACACGAGCTGGTAAAGCTGTGCACAGCAGGAAAACTACTACAGGAAAACCACTGCTGCTTTTTGCTCACTGTTCAGTGAACAGTGATAGAAGGGGGAAACAATTCTGAGAAAAAAAATTCAGAGCTGCAGTTACAAGCTGTTGTACACTTTAATTTAGAAAGTTCAATGGAATTATTCTCCACTCTCAAGTGTGAAAATGCTACCAGAACACTTTGAAACCTGTCAATAAAAGTGATCCCTCACTCTGAGCTACAGGAAAAGCAACGTCTGTTTAATACAGRAAAATATATCATAATCACAAGGTGCTGCTGGAATTGACCCTGTGTAGCAACAAGAACTTTTAGGATCAGCTGGACTCACTATGACATTAACTCTCTGCTCTTCTTCAAGGTGACAGAGATAAGGGAAGCTCTTCACACYGGGCAATAAACCACTAATTAAAACAAGAAAAGGTAATTTAARGAGTGGCTGTTGTCTCCCTGCAGAGCAGATTCAGCTTGGTGCTGACACAGCAAACCATCCCCAGCCACTTGCATACCAAGGGGCCAAGGCATAAGCAGAGAATTTAAAACAAAAAAAACCTCCTGTGCACCTYGCAGCATCTTGTGATTCCCATAAGCAACTTCCATGAATAACTCAACTGGAATACAGAAAACACCTAGTGGAAACCAACTGCAGTATGTGGGCACCCAGTTCTTATTACCCTTACAGAATTTTAATGGAAACCCTGTTTATTCTGATTAATTTTTGCTTGGGGGGTAATTGAAATTCAGTGTGCAAAGCCATTTAAGAAGTAATACTTATATGAGTTATATTCTGCAAGAACTCATAGCTCAGGGACTCAGGTTCAGGGGCTAATTAAAATACTGATTTATTTATAGCTCACCGGCTGCCAKACATTATCTGATGAAAATCCCTCTTTTTTCAATAATTTAAAKAAGTGAATGTACCCTTGGAACACAAAAACTTCAGTTTTCAAGTGGCAGCCTACAAAACTCCCTCTCTGTGGCAAATTAATGTTGTTCTTGTTTAGTTTACTGTAAGCTGCACGTTTCCTCTACAAGACATCCTACATCCTACTGCACTCTGCAGCTGTCCGCAYGCTTGGAAATAAATCCGGGAAGACACTCAAAGCTGTAAACAGCTACATGGAACAGCCACAGAGGGAAAGCATAACATGCCATTAAAATAATGAAAGAGAGAAACCCCTAAAAGTGGGGGCTGGATAAGCCTTTAGCACTTGAGCCTTCTCCAGCCACCACTGATGCTGGGTAACCTTGTCCATTTGGCATTTCACCATGTAAAAGATTCTGCAGTGCCTGGCACTCTACAGTCCCACAAAGATGTTCAAATCCAGCCTCTGGAGAGCCCTGCAGCTTTGCAGCAAAATACTGCTCACTGGAGAGAAACTGAACTGCTTGAATGCTGCAGTGAGAGTTAGGGCTCCCTGTTCCTCCAAAGGAGACTCAGCACTTCCATCGACAACCCAGTCTTTTCCACAATAACCTTGCTGAGCTTTATTCTCAATTTAAAGCAAATGTAGCATTGTCATGACAGTCCAAAGGGTACTTTCTGTTGTAARAACACGTGCATCTGCATAAAAATCACTTCAGTTTTACAATTTCTGCTCTGGTTTCTTAGTCTTAGGCACTGCCTAAGAAACTGTCTCATGAGGGACAGTGACCTCTCTGCACAAAAAAGACATTGAAGAACAGAGGAATGAAACAGCTGAGGGAAAAAGAGAAATAGAGGAGCTCACCACTGGACTGGCCCGAGCAGAGCTGGCTCTGGAGGATGCCCGAGATCCCGACCCAAGGTAGCAGCTGTACTCAGAAGGCTGCAGCAGGAAACCCAGGAACAGCAGGCAGAGAAAAGAGAAAGGCGTTAGAACCGGGAAGGGAAGCAGGAGAGGATGCAGAGCATCRCATCTGAAGTTAGTTAAGGAAATGGTTACATGCAGCTGGACAAAGGAACAGCAGTGAAAGTCAGAGAACAGACACCTCAACTGTTAATCAGAAAATAAATACAAGCAGTAATTCCACTGGCAGTTCAAGTAGAGTTTTGATTCAGTTCTTAGAATACTGATGATTTATTTATATCTCTTCAGGTACCAGTCACAAGTAAACAACTCAGTTTCTACACAAAAGGCTYCATCCTGCTACGTTCCAAAAGCTCYGAGGCTCTCTGGTGAATCATTTTCCCATGTTCCAAACACTGTGCACATATAAAACGCATCTGTGCTCCACAGGCCAAAGCAAGAAACATCCATCATTGTGGGGATTAAAGTAAAAACTGAGACCATCATGGGGATTAAAGCAAAAACTGAGACCAGCTCAGAGACTGAGCATCTCTCCTGCTTTTCCAGCGCCTGCARTGCTCATCTCCTGCCAAAGAAAGTCTTTTACCTTTTTTTAAAATGAAACATTTAAGCAGAGGTGCAGGACAGGGCTGGCTTGCTGCTGACAAGGACAAAGAACATCTYGATGCAGTTTTATTTCCAGGGTTTTTTATGTAGTGGAAATTGAGCAGGGAAATGGAAGTTTATAGTGTCAGGGAAACAGAACTAGAACTTACTCTGGAAATAATGAGTTTATTTTAGAGGTGACTAGGACTGTTTCTTAGACACAAACACACAGAAATCTAAAGAATTATCTGGACATACTGTGCAGTTTTTCAAGGTTTGTTTTATTGAGYTACCTGACCATTACAGGAATCCCTGGACTTCTCAGCTTTACAGAAACAGCCAGGCTTTCACGAAGCCACTGCAGGGCTGCTCCATCATCATTAGTCACAGTAACAAAGCAGCATAGCAGCAAATTAAAATTAAGCTCCCAGCACTAATAAATGGTGAGCGGGTAAGCTGGAAATTACCCCAGCCAGGCACCAAGCACAAGGTCAGCCACTGACCACAAAACAYTCCGTGCAAGGTGCACAGCCCTCAGCGAGCCCCGGGGCAGGGCAGTGTCCTCGGATRCACCCAGAGGGAGGCCCTGGCACAGCATGTCCAAAGGAGCTGTGGCTGCTCCATCCCTGGAAGTGTTCAAGGTCAGCTTGGACAATGCTTGGAGCACCCTGGGAATGTGGAAGGTATCCCTGCCCAGGGCAGGGGGTTGGAACAAAGCGAAATTTAATGTCCTTTCCAACCCAAACCATTCTGGGATTCTACGTCTTACATTGGCTTTGCACACCTGATCTTCATTTCAGAGGTGAGAACACACTTAATATAAAACTGCTGCACACTGTTTACAACTATTGCCAATCACACAGTARTTCCCCAATTAAAGACAAAAAGCACTGAAGTGAAATTTTTGTTTTCTTATGAAGTAATTCTAACACGGAAGTTTTGGCCACTGCTGGTGTTTTATGTTTAACATAAGAAGAGCTTAGAATAAATTTGAAACACGTGACAGGGCAGAAGTTTTAACTACTGAGGAGTCCCATATTAATGCTTCCAGCCCCTATTTATTCCACATTTGTTCTKTGTGCATTACAGGACAGGCTATGGAAGTCAGTGGCTGTGACCAAGCAAGGCCACCTTGAGCCTCACCCSTGCATTCACCTGCTCATCCAAAACCATTTTTTGGGAGCAGCCATACAAGCGGCACTCCCTCTCCACCTTGAAAGTGCTACAAGGTTCAGAGGCATTAAAATAACCCCAGTTACTGTGACAAGGTCCCTCCCTCTGAGGCAAACCCCTCCTGTTCAAGTCTCTCATTACTACAGGCAGCAGGAACTGGAAAGGCTGCGTTACCACAAATTCCAAATACCTGTGGCACAGGGTGGGATGGGGATGAGGGAGGGGAAAGAGCACCAGTGCTTTATTCAGTGTTTCCTGCTCCAGCCACTGACAGCCAGTGAAGGACTTGAAAATGCATTCTGGGCTGAGAGTTTGCTGTAAATGGCTTCTCACAACTGTGAATCAGTGGGATTGCAGGAGGATGGCACAGCCCTTTAAAGACTAACAAGCGCTTAGCAAGCATTCCTGAAAGTGTTTCCTCCTCCAAGCTAATAAAAATGAAATGTTCACAGTAACATCAGTACTCTGTCTTGAGGCTTTTTACTCTTACGGCCTTAGATGGTGGTTATTTGTTTGCTGATTTTTTTTTTTTTTGGTTGGTTGGATTTTTCTACCATCAGTGGACGGGATGAGAGGCAGAATAAGCAGCAGGCCTGCAGAGCAGGACTTAAAAAAGATTGGCTTTTTTTTTTTTCTCCCAAGGGGACACAATAGCAGCCTGTATTGCCTGTATTGCACAACAGCAGATGTACTGCCTGGCCCAAACACCCATGGAGGAGAAGAGGTGAAGGCATCTTCCACCTTCTAATCCATAAACTGAGTCCTGGAGTCTCTCATTTTTGAAAGGAAACAAATTATGTGGTCATTCCTCATATTGTTGCTCCCCATCCATGACAGAGGATGTGCCCTCCACTCTCAGGAACAGGTATTTTGAAAACATTTTCCCATACATGAATATAAAATATATTTGAACATAAATCCAAGAAACAAAACCGAGCAAGCCATATGTTCACAAAAATCACTGCTAATGTGGGACTGATTTTTAAAATTTTGTCTGGTTATTTTTTAAATTTGCATTTTTCTCAGTTTTCAAAAGAATAATTAAGTCTGAGGGAGGGAAAGAACTTTGTTTATGGCCTTTCCAAGGTGTTTTATCTGCCAACCAAGCGTGAGGCAGATGCCCAGCGATCACCACTCCTTATTTCATGGAAGCTTGTGGGAATGGTGCTGCCTACAGCAGCAGGCCCTGGATGTCACATAGCCCMTGTGAAATGTTCCTCAGCCCGGCAAAGGACAGACACAGAGCAGGGAAATGCAGAAAAATCTTACAGCACGGGAACTGGGGGCACTATAGCGCCGGCTCCCGCTGTAAACGCTCTCCTCGTACACAGACGCCTACAATTAAAACACAGAGTCAGCACCGGGGCGGCAGCTCAGGCTGCAGAATCACAAATTCACCGAGGACACGTGGCAAGGAGCAGGATGGGCAAGGACAGGGACATCTCCCATGTGCAAACACGAGCAGCATGCAAGGGAAGATCCAACGCAACCACGGGACACRTGCAGGATTGAACACATCCCCCAGGCCATCGCACCCCATGCATTATAACCCTTCTCCCAGGCTCTCAGCTCAACAGGCAGTTTGATTCAACACTTGGACTGCCTATCCACAAAATGGCTACATCAATTCTTAAATTGTTCCCATCTGTTTCACCTCCACTGCTGGTGCTGGCAGTGAGAAAAAAAACTCCCACCTGATGAGTTTCACTTACCAGCCAGTTTAGTAAATTAATAAAAGAGAAGGAATATGCATAGTTTAGCACAGAGATACATGGTTCAGGAAACACAAGGGGAGTAGCAAATTCTACCTTTCATCTTTGAGAAAAAATTCTGAGCAGCTCATTTTAAACAAGAACACCAGAATTTGCCTGAGCAAAAAAAAACTGTGAATAGATTTATGCTAGTTGTTAAATAACCAGAAAGAATTGATGTTGCCTGTCCCGCTCCTGGAAATACACCAAGGAAGACAACTCTCTCCACATGGACACAACACCATGTCAGCATCACAACCCCATGAGCAGTGACTGCACAGTTCCAACAGGAACGAGAGGAAGGATSAGCAAATCCAGGTCTGCACAAACAGCATCACACACGTGGCATTCAGATGGATGGGACTGCAGAGCGTGAGGTAAATGCACCCAACAGGAATTACAGACAGAGGTGAGAGACAAGATGTGCATGGCTGGGGTGAGTGGCTCTGGTCTTGGTGCTCAGAGCATCAGCACAACAAACCCTGTAACTCCTGGCTGGCAGGGCATCGCTGTACAGCAGGGAGGGCTGAGGGAGACAAGCACAACGCTTTTTTTTTTTTTGGCAGAGAAAATGAAACATAAAAGGTGCCTACAGCAGAAATTAACGCTCTTGGTGAGAGATTAGGATCATTACACTACAACAGAAGGAAAGCCAGTACAGACAATATTAGTCATCTGCACCACAAAAGCATYAGATCTCAGCTCACAAAGACTAAGAATACCGAGCAGACACGTGCATTTCCTACAGGAAGGGAGGACACGACAGTATGCAGAAGCAAAACAGCATAATTTAATTTTAGGTTGTTAAGCTGTTATTGTCTCCCACACGTTTATGTACAGGAGCCAGAAAGGCGTTTCTCCTCACTTCAACCAARGCCAGAAAAAGAACCACACACAAGTGCTTCAAGGTACACACTGTAAGTGTTTGACACGGCTGCAAGATCATCCCTCATGTATTTTATTATTCACAAATGCAGAGAAAACCCAAATAATTCGGGGGAAAATTAGAAGTGCTTCAGCCAGAGCAGCTTGAAACAAGTGTTAGTACCCATCCCCASTGAGATGCAGCAGTTAAACAAACTCAGAGCTGTGTCTGGCAGAGCRAGGGGCAGGAGAGACTCCAGCAGTGGTCCCCAACCCAAGGCTTCCACTGCTCCACTCCACATCCCTGTGCTGTGTCCCCTGCAGGACCTGGAGTACTGCTGGAGCTCTGCCTGCTGGCACTGGGCTGGCCGAGCTCTGCCACACACAGGGGACAATCCAACCTCCTGGGGGRTTTTACAGCTTCACTGATTTTCTTCCAGCAGTCTGCGAATTGCTTCCCTGGAATTTCATGTCGTGCAGACTGGATTGTCTCAAGCTCACCAGACTGACACGCTCCACAGAGGAGCTGCCTCAARTAGAGAATTTCAGGTAATTAAGATTTCCCCTGTTTTTTCAGACCAATTGAGGCAAATAGCAGACAAGGAAAGGGAGGAGCAGCAAAGGAAAACTGACTGTGTTCATTTG